TTCACATCAGTCATCACCTTTGGGTGGCTGCGGCAGACAAAGTTGGTCCTGGGGTTTCTGCTGGTATCACTTGCAACAAAGCCCAGAGAGCAGCACCTCATACCAGATATGAGGAGGGATGAAGCCCTGTTAGTCCTGCAGAGTAGCAGGACTAATTCTTATGGGATGCTCAGTCCAAGCAGAAGTAGACTCCTGCAGATCAGTGACATTATGCTGTATGACTAACTAGCTTGGCCAGGAAAATCGATTCGACCTGGCAGGTCGGCTATCTGGCTTGAACAACAAAGCTCTGGTCTATCTCCAAGCAGAAGAGCATCAGGCAGGCTTTACCCTGATGTTCTAAACCCTCTGCAGAGAGCTGCTGCCTCACAGGGCCAGCCTCTCTTTCTTCCCAGGATGACATGAGCCAACAGCTGAACAGCACAACAGCTTGTGACAGGCATCCCCTGCTCCCAGACCTAGCAATGTGGTCACCACAACTAAGGCCATGCAGGAGGGGAGTAGCCATTCTGTGCCCCACCAGGTCATATAGTCATACCCTTCCCCTTCTTATCAGGCACTGAAGGTTCTGTGCACCAAGTACCAAAACCAACAGAATTATTCTTCTCCTCCACACCAGCCTGAAAGTCCCCGGGCACCAGGCCCTTCCCATACTGGCCTTGAAGGTCGCAGGCACATAGCCAGCTCTGTGTTGCTGACAACCCTATCACAGGGCAGGGAAACACAACAGCATAGAGCGCACTGTCCACAAAATCAAGCAATTACAAAGTCCTAAGGGGCACCTTGGGAGTAGAATTTCTGCTGGACGCTCAGGACCCCTCTGCTCCGGTACACATTTACTGTTGCCTGTTTCCTCCCATGACTGAGGGAGAGCCTTGTATCCTCTGTATCATTTTTGAATCTATGTTACGATCATTATATTATACAGAAAACTATCTATTAAAATCTGATCCAATATGCAGAGGGCCCAGGTGACTAGAAATTGTAAGTCAAGATGCATTAGAATACAGGTGATTAGAAATTGTAAGTTAAATTGTATGATAAATCCTGTATTACACTGCTTATAGATTGCACTACATTGATTGTGCTTGTAGAAAAACTGTGCCATTGTAATCACTAATCCTTTGCTATACTAATCATAACATGATAGGAAAATAAAGTTCTGATTGAAACTACAATTTAGCCTCATCATCATTCCGCCAAGGATCCCTACAAGAACATATGGGTCTCCTCAGTGTTGGATGACACTGCTGTGTGACCATACCTGTTTTCCAGGCCATCCACATAGATCTTCCTCCGGCGACGGCTATCCTGAGCTGCCTGCTTGTTCCGAATCTTACGACGTACTTTCCTCAGAACTCGCTCTTCAGCCTGCAAGGATCATCTCATTAACAGCAATCTCGGGGTGTTGGCAATCCCACTCTCTCACACCACACATATCTCAGTGCCCAGTCCAAGTGCTTGTGTCCTCTATTCTTCCCACACCACTGAATAAACTGCAAGGCAAACCCTGGCCTGCTGATGCAGCCAGCAGCTTCCATGACGTAGCAAAAGTAAGGAATACCCAAGGGAAATGAAAAGCATGCAGCTCATGAGCCACTTGGCAAGCACGACACCAAACCCAGATGAACACTGCCCTGAACACAGCATCTGGACAACAATATTCTCATCAAAGCACTGTCTTGTAGTTTCAAACCCCTAAACAACTTGACACATTTGAGTGGTCTGTCTGGAGGAGTGGTCTGTCTAGTGAGGACTCACTTTGGTCAGTGGCAGACAGGTTGGTAATGTAACACCTTCTTTCTCCAGGAGCTGCTTCTCCTCCTCTGTGAGGACCAGCTCTGGGAAGTCAGACTAGAAAACAGCAAAAATAAGCCTACTGAGAATGCAAAATACAGGGAGTCCACCCCGGGCCAGAAAGAGCATGCAGCAAACACAAAGAACTGGAACCAGCTTTCCCAAAGCAGTGTCATGCTTTGCCTCAGAGATATCCCTCATAGGAGCCAAGTCAGAAGAGAAGGAGAGATGTGAGCAGAAGCAAAGGCTGTGGTCTACCAAGCATGAAATCAGTACCTGTACAATGGCTCCAGGCACAAGCTGGGGTTCATCTTCCACAGCAACAGCAATGGGGGAACCGGTGCTCTGTTCCAGTGCCTTGCTGGTGCTTTCCAAACCCACCCATGCCCCTGGGGAAGGAAAGGTGAGTCAAATACTGGGCCTCAGAGAGGTAGCACCTGACCAGCCAGCTGAGTAGCATTAAACAGCAATTTTACAGCAGCAGAAACCCTCTACTCTTGGCTCTGTCCGTCACTGCCTGACATCCACCAAAACAAACCAATATGGGATTGCTTTTCTCTTTTCTGTCTGTAGCCAGAACAAAAAGAGCCCTTACCCATCCACTCACCTAGCTCAATGGTAACATCTCCTTCTGCCATGTCAGACCTCACACTTTCCAGTGCAGGCCAGTCCTGAAGGGAGTAGTTATGATCAACCTGCACAACGTCTTGAATGGCAAAATTGCTACCAAGGCAATGGGACAGATGCTGGTCCTCAGAAATGCTGCTGTCATTGTTGGCAGGCAAATAACTGAGCCTGTCTGGTTCATCTTCTAAGGGGGTCAGCAGTGAGCTGATGAAGTCATCCATCTCCTTGTCCAGGAGCTGCAGAGGAACAGCTTTTACTCAGCAGGAAGACAAACCTCCTAAACCTCAGCTCAGCAGCAATTCCTCACAAAAGAGCTCACCTCAGGCACTGGAAGGCCCCAGTCTTCCAGCAGACCATTCTGCTCCCCTGGGATTTCAGGGCAGGGAGCATCATCCTTCAGGAGAAAGTCAAGCAGATCCACCTCTGCCAGGGTATCCAGCTCCTCTGGGCACGACATCTGAGCAGGACAGCCAAAGTAAGTGCAGGCACAATGGAAGACACCAGCCTTGCTTTAAGGTGTCTCTCAGACCTTACAAAGTATCCCCATACAATGCTAACACCAGGTATGGTCAATTCACAAATACTTCTCCAGCCAGGCTATTATAGCACCACTGGTGAAAACAATACAGTACTTTCCCCAAAAGATTATTGCGACTCAGCCACAGGAGCCACTCTCCACCCAAAGCATAAAAGCTGCAGGAAGGAGAGGAAAAGTGAAACAATCCCAGACTTAATGGTGTGGAGAGTATGCAAGGTTCTGCTGTTCCACAGAAGCCTGAAGGTGCCCTACCTCCTGGTGTGCACCCAGCAGGGAGAGTTTCCTGTCCCAGGAAAATTAACAACAGTCATTGTTGAGGTTTAAACTAAAGGGATTCTGTTAATTATTAAATGATTATCAAATTCTAAGTAAAAGATGACTGAACAGAAATTAAATGGTAATCAAATAGTGATTAAGTGATCATTGAAGGGTAATTAATGAGTGATTTGACAGACCTAAATGATGACTCTAATTCAGACAGCTGTAAAATACTGCACTATTTATCACACTTGTAATAAATAAGAGAATATTGTCATAAACAAATAGACGGATATATATGAACGTCACTAGCACACCTTTAGGCTGTAAGTAAAACACTCCTTACCTCACTGTAGAGATCAGACACTGGTAAAACGTCTCTCCGCCCTGAGGGGTGACCTGGAGAGCCGTCCCTGCTGCCAGGGAGGGCAGGCCCGGCAGCACAAGAGCAGCAGAGCTCAGCGGCTCGAGGCGGCCACAGGTGCTCAGAGGGCAAAGGGACAGACCTGCAGCCAAACGCCGCCCTGGCACCTTTGCACTTTGCAGCTTTAGCTTTGTCTGGTGCCAACTCGGGCTGTTGCTGTTATGTCCCGACAAGACATTGCCCAGGAGCCTCGGTCCCTGAGGAGATGCGGCCTGGCATGGCTCTCAGTGGGATCAGCCCGGCCGGCTGGTGGGCGATGCCTGAGCCAAGGCACCGCTCAGGCTGTGGGAGCACAGGCATCCATCACACCTCTCCATCAGCACTGCTAAGCTCTCACATCTAGCTGTCAAGTTTCACAGTCTGGGGAAAAAAAAAAAAAAAGACAAACCCAGACAAAATAGAATGCCACCTAAACCACCTGAAACCACACCCAAAATCAGAGGGCCAGGGCAGTCCCCAGCCACGGCTGTTGTGCCAGCTGACTGGGAGGAGGGCTGTCAGCAGAAAGTTGAGCAGCAAGACGAAGAGGAGCTGGGCAAACCCAGGCAATGCTAGGGCCCGTGGCTTCCACAGACTCGGAGGAGATTCCTCCGAGGGAACGTGGCAGACAGCACGGGAACAGGAGGAGCAGGTGCGGCAGCAGGAAGGGTGATCGGAGCGCAAGGGAGGGGACACCCACCCAGCGAAAACCAAGCAGCCTCTCCCAGCCCCGTCTGCGGGCCGGACTCCGGATACCCGAATCCTCAGACCTCCTGGACCTTCAGAGCAGCGGGCAGCGGTCCCCGGTCCCTGACCCCTGAACACTGAACACCGACCCCCGGTCCTCGACCTCGACCCCGGCCCCCGGTCGTGCCCGGCGCGCTCCCACCGCTCACCTCAGCCCGCCGCTCCTAGAGCACCACGGTGACGTCACCCCGTCTCCCGGCGGGCCCCGCGCGCACCGCCCCTGCCCCTCCCGCGCTGACGCCCCGGTGGCCCATTGGTTGGGTGGGGGCGCGTGGGCGGCGGGAGCGCGCGCGGGCGGCGGGAGCGCGGGGCGGGCGGGGAAAGCAGGGGAAGGGACAGAGGGCTCGAGGGGAGGGCGGTGGGCTCGGGGTTATGCGGGGCGTCAGGGGTGTCCCGAAGCGGGTGGGCTCCTGAGGGTGCGGTGTGAGCAGCGGGCGGAGTACGGCCTCGCTGCGCGGGCGCGGAACCGTGCCCAGTCCCGAGGCGTCGGGCTGGGCCGCGCGGGCACAGAGTAGCGCTGTCTGTGGGAGCAGGATGCCCGTGGCGCGGTGTCCGGGTGGAGCGCAGCCCCGGGGCACCGTGCACAGCAGCGCCGTGCCACCCGGCGGCGCGCGGTGTCCCCGGCGCATGCGCGGCGGCGGGGGGGGGGGCGGGAAGCGGGCGGTGCCGCTCGCTCAGCTCCCCTCAGCGTCGCGGGGCCGCCGCGCTGCTCCTGCCCGCGCAAAGGTACGGGGACTGGGGACGGAGGACACACGGTGTCCCGGTAACCGGGGAGGGGGGCTGCGGAGTGGCGTCCTGCGGACCGTCAGTGCCCTCACTCTCGGGGGGCTGCCGGAAACGGATATCCCGGGGACCCTGCCTCCGCACCCCGCCCGGTAAATGGCGGGGAGGCAGAGTGGGAGCAGCTTCCCGGTTACCGGGGCTTTCCTGCTCCAGCCGGGGCTTGAACGCGGGTCTGCGGTGACCTAGGGGCTTCCGGGGTTTACTCAGACTTTGGGGCGTGCCCAGATCGCTCCTGGGGCCGCCGCCACCCGAGCACCGAAGCCCACTGGAGGCTCCGGGGCAGCACGGGCTGGCGCAACCACGTTATCCCCGGCCACGTTATTCCCAGCCCTGCCCTTGCTCTGCCCCACTAGGCCCGGGCCTGGAGTCCACCCTGGCCGGGCTCGGGCCAGCATCTCCACCTCGGGGGTCCCTGGGGATCGGACTGGACAAGCCTGGCCGTGGCCATCGGTCCGTGGACCGTGGGGCAACCTTTGGGGCAGACCCGGCGTCGCTTTTCTCCTGGCACCCGCCTGCCCTGCCGGGACGTGGGGAAAAGTAAGTGGCAAGGGTGTCTGTGTCCTGCGGCGTGGATTTGGGTGGGGACTCGAGGGCACAACGCTTCCCATGAGCACACCGAAGCCAGGGAGGTCACCGGAACAGTTCCCACCAGGACAGACAGCGGGCCATAGGCCCCGGGATGGGGCGCTGGAGCGGTTCCCATGCAGGGTGGGACTGGCCCCAGCCGGGGAAGGCGTGGATCCCCACCATGTCTCGGCCGAAACAACTAACCAAGCAGGGGGAAACGCTGCCCCATCCTCTCTCTGCCTGTTCCTTGCCGAATCCTGCCCGAGTCCCTGCAAGCTCCCCATCCCTTTGAATCTGCCGGCAGGATGTCTACATGCTTTTGCCGTGGCTTCATCGCTGGCTGTTAGACCCATATTTGGTAGCGATAATTGTTTACTCCGTTCTCTCTCCCCGAGCCTTGCTTCTGAGAAGGGGAGGGCGCATATTTTTGGGGTCTTTAGTTTTGCCAAAACCTGTGAGTTGCCCAGTAAAGGGTTCAGATCACCTGCCTCTCCCCAGGTCATAGGATGAAACCCCCCAAGTGCTAAGTGCATCTATGATGGCTCATGGGGAGCACCACCTAAGCACTCAGTTTGCTTGCTGAATGGCAGCAGCAGGAATCTGATGCTTCCCAAAGTGACACATCCCATTAGATTTAGGAAAGGGGGAGTGTGAAGGCTGAGGAAAGGGGAAGAGGGTCCTGTGGGGTGTCCTTCTTTTCCGAACTGAGCTTTGCTGACTGCTGGGTGAAATGACCCCAAAATGCAGCCATGCTGTCTTTTTTCTTTCACATTTCTGCCTGTCTAGCAGCACAGTGTTGGGCAAGTTTCTTGTTGTGGGAAGCATGGGTGCCTGGATCAGGGTACCCAGTGCTTTCCAGAGGTTATGACAGCATCCACTGCACCTCAACCCCTCTCTTGGGGTCCTGCGTTAGAGAGCCAGCTTGCTGAGGATGCAGGAGAGGCTGTGACTGGAGTCCCACTGGCCCCCATGCCTGCCTTCATCATGGGCAATCTAGAGGTGCCATGATTTGTGCTCCATGCCTTTGGACGTCAGGGTATGCCCAGCAGGAGGAGACAGGATGTGAGATGTGTGCAAAACGTGGGCAGTTAATGGCCGGAGCTGCTGCAGCGCAGTGCATGTGAGCAGACAGGCAGGCTGCGTCTGTCATCCTCCAGACCAGCTGCCGAGCCCCTGCCCATTTCCCATGCAGAGCAGGGCTGCTCTCCCTGCAGGAGCGAGAAGATGCTCCTGTCCTAGCCGTGGATAACAGCGGAGTAGTCGCAGAGGTGCTGTGTCTGGCCTTGACAGCCACTCATGCTCCCCAGGAGCAAGTTCGGCCTTAGCTGGAAGAAACTGTCCTCCCATCTGACGTGGACATGCAGCTGGGAAAGAGGAACTGGGCTGAACAGTCTCAGCAGCGTGTGACACTAAACCAGCTGGGGCTGCTGGCTCAGCCTCCCCACTGGTGCAGGGCTGAGCCCTGTCTACCTCTGTGCCTGCTATACTGGTCCTGTACTGAGAACACCGGAGAACCCAGCCAGAACCTAGTCTAGCTTCTTCCCAGCTGTATTTTTGACGCAGTTGATGGTGCTGGAGTGCAGATGCCAGCCAAGCCACTGCTGCAGGCGTTGTCTTTTGGTGGCCTGGTGTCTTCCTAGCTGTGCAGGTGGCTGTACTGACTGGGCTGTGCCTTTGGAAAACACCAGTGCTGGGATGGTTTGCAGCTGATAAAACTTCCTGCAGCCAGCTCCTGGTCCAAGGGTGGTGGGGCCTTTCCCAGATGAAATTTGGTATTGCTATAATAAAAGAAGGAAAAAAGGAATACTCCGAAAGAGGATGGTAATGGAGTTTGGTTAAAAGAGAGCATAATAAAAATGGCAGAACTGTTGCATCTGGAGATTTGCAACTTGTTCTGGAAACTCTTCACAAGTGTTCCAACTGTCTGCAGTTGAATTTTGATTGATTTTTTTTTTGTTTTCTAAGACACAAACCCTCCCCTATAACCGTTACTGCAGCAGTGAACTCGTCTGACAAATTACAGCAATTCCATCACGTGACCAAAAACTCACTGTCAGTGGTCCCCAGCAATGCCGCGGTGTTTCCTTGAGCCACACGGTGCTGTCTGCCCACAGCCCACAGCCCTGCCTGCGCTGACCCTGCCCTCAGGCAGAGCCTGGAGGCCACCACCACCATCTTGGTTTTGCTCACCTTGCGTGGGGTGAGATGCAGGAAACCACAACAGCTCCTGGGGGAAGTGGTGGGACCCCATCACGGTTACCCCCTCCCCCTCATCATCTTGGGATCAGCTCAGAAGCATGCCCGTGGTACAAAAAGGGTTGCACACAGCTTGCTATAAAATGCAGAAGTGTGGTAATCCGGCTGCTCTGGTGCCTTATCTTACTTTGCATACTGACAACATGATTGAGAATAGGTTTGACTGAGAATGGGTTTGCTTTCTCTGGAGGTGAGCCAGCAAAAATTTGGTGTGTGTTCATCGAGACTTGGTTTGTTTGGGTTTTTTGTTTTTTTCTTTCTAGGGGGACAGATTGAGTTTCACTGTCTTTTTCGGTTTTTTGTTCTGGTTTGCACTGCCAGGCTCCCACGCTGTCTCATTTGTTACATCTAGTCCAGCTTTTCTCTCTCCACATGGTTCCCAGAGAGGAGAGGTCTATAGGGGCTGAGCCCTGCATTGATACCCTCACACCATGCAGCAGATTTACAAACCTTGTGTATTAGTTGCCACGTTTTGCTGACAAACCTCACCCCAGTTTGAGGAGGTGTCCTTCTGCACCAGAGAATGTTTCTGCTCTAGACACTACTGTCAGGAAACTTTAGCTGCTAGAGCCTGGATTTCTTCCATAGACTATGGAAGTTGAAGTGAACCATCTCGCTTTTCCCTGAGGTCTTCCTTGATGTCATCAGCATCTTCCCTGCTGAGCTCTTGTCATTTTTTGTGTTTGGGAGTGGGAAGGCTTGAGCAGTCTTCTTGTGGAGACTTGGGAAGCACAGTGACCCCTGTGAAGAGTGTGCTAAGGGGTGCCTCTGGTACAATTCCTGGGTTTGGGTGGCGTTGTGAGGGCAAGAAGAGGATGCAGAAATAGTGGCAGATATCCTGGCTGCTCTCAGTTCCTCTCTACTGTCCAATGTCCTCCACTCCTTCCTCCATGGTCTCTGACCTTGTCTTGTCAGTGGCATGTTCTCCTTTTCCTGCAGAGGGATGGCAAGCAGCTTTATGCTCAACTTGAGAATATTTTTAGATGTAGAGAAGTTGGCCTGGTGACCGCAGCAGCCCGCCCTGCATATAAAATACTTGGAAAACCCTTTCCATGACGGGGTGTTCCTCATTTGTTCAGCTCCAGAGCTTTGCCGGTGCTTCCGGATAGATGGCAATGGCACAAGCGGGTGCCTCTGCCACCTCCTTCCCTCTGCCGATGGGCTCCCTCAGTCCAGAGACGAAGTGCATTTCATTCCTCAGCAGCAGAGACAGTGGGGGCCACGGGCCTCCGCAGAAACATTGCAGAACGGCTCAGGAATGCAGAGCTGGAGCCGCTCCATGTGCTGGTGGAGGCGGCACGCTCCTTGGTCCCTGCCTCCCACCCTGCACCACCAGCGTGGCTTTATGGCTTTGCAGGAGCTGGGCCCCTGCCCTCAGACTTGCCCCTGGCCAAAACTGGACACACATCCTGCCCCTCGGCTGCTCAGGTCTGTGTTTGGGAGCAGCCTGCACTGGTGTACCCCCTCCCAGGGGTACTACAGCTGGCAGTGCCAGGTAGGGACGCACAGATTCACCAAGTGCCGCTGCGCTGCGAGGAAGGCTGCCAGCACATTTTCCCAAGAACCTTCCCAGGCCAGGCTGAGGATGCAAGATCAGCTTTCTCTGACAGCCATAATAGGAAGTCTGGTAGGAGCAGATCAATCTAAAAGAGAATAAGCAGATGTGCATCCCACCAGTGCTCTTGCATCCTCCCATCACTGGAGTTTAAGGACAAGGCAGCCTGGGTCAGCGGAACTGGGGACTCCCTCTGTATGAGCAGGCTCTCAGGGAGGGGAAAAGGCATGTCACTGCTGGAGGGCATTGTGTTGAGGCCAGACAGGGGCAGGGAATATTGAAAAGGGCATGGAGCAGTGGGACAGGAGCAGAGGAACTTGGTAGGGACCCTGAGGGATTTGGCAACTTGGGAAAGTGCTGAAAGCTGTTTCACAGCAGGTAGACCTGAAGGAAAGGGCTCTTACAAGCTGCATCAGGCAAGTGGGGTACTTATGCACGACCTCCTTTTACTTCGGTTACTTCTTTCAGCTTTTACTCTGCAATACAAGTATGGGAGTTCTGATTATGTGTTATTGAGCTAGTGTTTTGGAGCTCTGTTGAGGGGTGCTTGCTCTGAAGCTGCTCTTTGCAATCCTTTAAGCCTGAAGTCTGCAACTACCTGAAAGGAGGTTGTAGTGAGATGGGGGCCAGTCTCTTCTGCCATGCCTGCAGTGAGAGGACAAGAGGAAATAGCTCTAAGTTGAGACAGTGAGGTTCAGATTAGATACCAGGAAAAAAAAATTTCACTGTTAAGGTGATGAGGCATTGGAATAGGTTGCCCAGGGAGGTGGTGGAGTCACCATCCCTGGAGGTGTTTAAGACGCATCGGGATCTGGTGCTGGGTGATATGATCTATGGGTGATTTATGGGTTACTGTGGTAGTGCTGCGTGGGTGGTTGGGCTGGGTCATCTTCCAACCCTGATGATTCTATGATTCTATTCTATGAAGCTGATCCTTCAAGCTGGACCCAGCTTGAGGCCTTTTTCAGATGGCATGGTGTGGTTCTTGTGTGCCCATGCAATGAGACCTGCCACAGGTGGTCCCTTGCCCTCCTGTGCATTGTCCTATGCCCTGAGTTGGTGCTGTATCTGCTACTGTAGACCCCGATCTCATGAGCACTCCTTGGGTGTAAATGGTGCTTTTCCCAGCTAATTGTATGTAAGTGCGAATTCAATGCCTGGTGCCCTTATCTTGTGTCCCCGGCAGCTTCAGGCTTTTCCGTCCCTCTGTGCTCAGGCTGCCAGCTCAGCACCGTCTACTAGTGACATGACTAGGGGTCCTGATAGCTGGGGGAGGGCCCTGCCAGCTCTGGGTCAAACCTTGGTTTTCCTCTTGTGGCTTCTGTGTCATGGCAGGTTTAATTATAACCCCTTCCATCATCCTCTCAGAACTTATCTAGTGTGCTCCCTCATGCTCAGTTCCTCTCCCTGGCAGTATCTCTGTTGGGTACTAGCTGCTGTCACTCCTACAGGCAAGTAAAATTGGCTTTAGGACCTTAAGACAAGGAGGTAGGGGTCCCAATGCTGGTCTCAGGTTCCAGGGTCTGGAAAGTGGGACCTCTCACAGGCTCGCCAGCACAGGCTGCAGCCCTTGCTTGCCACTGGAAGCCAAGTCCTGGCTTTTAGGTGCTGCCGAAGGGGGAGGAACAAGCACACTGCACACTGGTGGGGTCAGCAGTCAGAGATCACCCATCTGTCTCCTCTGGCAGGTGACGCAGGAGTGGGGACAGCCCAGCCGCCACCATGGTTGCCCTCTCACTGAAGATCAGCATTGGCAATGTGGTGAAGACGATGCAGTTTGAGCCCTCCACCATGGTGTACGACGCTTGCCGGATGATCCGTGAGCGGGTGCCTGAGGCACAGATAGGACAGTGTAAGTCCATGGTGGGGCTGACTGCCGTGCCAGGGCTGCTGTGGCTTAGCTCCTGGCGCTTCACTAGTCTCCCTTTTCTTTTCTGTCTGTGCCTCTCTGGTTGTCACTTTCCCAGTGAAGTGGTGGGGCAGGGGGAGTGGGGTCAAAGTCCTCTTACCTAGCTGACGTGAGGCTCTGAGCTTCTCAGACTTCCCTCCTTGACAGCCCAGAACATTTATGTGTTTAGAAGTTAGGAAACCACATTTGGAAGTGAAATAACTCTTTAAGCAATTTGAGTCTGCTGCCCTTTCTGTCTCTGCTCTTCTGTCCTACTTGCATTCATCACCACTAGCTAGGGCTACTTGGGTTTAAACAGTTGCAGGGGTCATAGCAAACATTAGTAAACCATTTGAGTTAATTTTTCCTTTCTTGGGATATATATAATACCCACTGGGTCTGTCTCCCTCTGGCAGCTCTCTGCCAGACCTGTGCTGGCGCTCCATTACCTTTCTAGGCTGCTTCTGCTCCAGTATTTTCTTGCTGCCGCTAGGCTCACAATTTAGCCTATGGCTCATGAGCTCATGATGTGACTCACGCCCACACGGATGTGGCCTGTCCCCATCATGGATGGGGGGGGTTGGTGCTCTGGGACACTGTCTCAGGGGCTCTCCTGAGTGCATGCAACCCCCAAAAGCGGCTGTGCCACAGAGGAGAGGCAGCAAAATGGAGGTCAAGAGTCGTGGGAAGAGGAGGGGGAGTGCAGTGACATCTGGGAGCAGCACATTCCTTGAGGTTGAAAGGAAATGCCTTCTCACACCCTGCCCGGCTGGTCAGCAGTCCAGCAGACCATGGCTTTCAGCTTCAGCAAGGGACTGGATGTCTTTGGATATGCAGGGCTATAGTGGTGTTGGAAGGAGCATTGCATTTCCTGCTCCTGGGTGTGAGCCAGCCTGTTTATAAAAAAAGCAGCAAGGGGAAGGCCTTAAAGAGAACTTCTTATTCCTACGTTCCTTTTCAGTTGCTGACTGCCTTTCTTTTCCTATGTGTTCCTTGCAGCTTTTACTTCTCTTTGCTCTCCTTATTCATGGTCACTCGGGCTCCTTTTTTGAGCTGCCTTGTTTTTTGATCACCTTTGGGCTGGGGGAGCTTCAGTGTAAGTTTCCAGCTCTGCTCTTGCTCTGTCTCAGGAAGTGCCTGTCCCCGCCCAGCCTGTGGATCTGGGGCAAGCTGCTCAGTTTTCAGAGCTTTGGATTTATCCTCTTGGAATTTGCTTTGAAAACAGTTTGGTTTTTTGTTGTTTTTTTTAAACTTCAAAAATAAGATGGCGAGCTTTCATGATTTTTCTGCTCCCTGTTCAGTAGGATTCTAACGGCAGTGTTAGCCAGGCTGGCGCAGGGCGGCTCAGGAATTTGTCCCTCCCCAAAGAAAGCTGCCAACAAGATGACGAGTTATAAACATAGCCAACCAAGACAGCCTGCGGCGCAGGATTGTTGCAGAGGTGGAGAAGGACCTTTCTAGGGCAAAGCCAGGCGTGGTCCTGGCCTCTTTCTACATGAAAATGGGCCTGTCCCTGTGGGTCTGAGCTGGGGAGCCACTGCCCAGGCTCCACAGCAGCCCTTTCACTCCACCCTGAGGGAGCAGGATTTGGTGAATGATATTTACTCATCACCTCTGAAACCTTGTAAGCCTTGAGCCCATTCTTCTTCAGTCTCCTCTTCTGCAAAAAGAGGAGTCCCAGCTCCCCTAGTCTTTCACATCAAGGTTCCATCATTCGAGTTATCTCTCTGTATCTTTTCAACCTGTACTGTGTCCTGAGGAGATGCAGACCCTACCACCAGAGAGTCTTTGAAGTGTGGATTGCCTAGATTTTATAGACCAGTTCCCAGCACCCTTCCTGGTGATCCCCAGCATTTTACTACCTTATTTTCACTACTACTACACATTGCACCGAAGATTTCAGAGAGCTGTCAGCCACAACTGCAAGCTCTTCCTTCTGTTGTCTCTGTCAGTTCCAAGTTCAATATTGCGTAGGCATGCCACAGATGATTTTTTCCATAGATAACTGTGGTAAAACCTCAGAGCTTGTGTGCCAGCTTTGTTGCCCACTTATTAGGTTTAGGCTCCAGCATTCACAGGGCTGCTGTGCTTCAAGCACTGGGCTGCACCACTGCATGTCCCTGGCCACAGAGTGGCATCGTGGTGGCCCTGTGCTGCTCAGGATTACCCTGTCAGAGACTTTATCTGTTTTTCAGCCAATGATTTTGGGCTCTTCCTCTCGGATGAAGACCCAAAGAAAGGGATCTGGCTGGAGGCTGGGAAGGCTCTGGACTACTACATGCTTCGCAATGGAGTAAGTATCCATTCCACATCCTTCTAGCTGCATCCTTTGCTCCGTTGTTGGATGTCTTGCTTACAGCGTGGAGATGGTATGGGTGCCTGCCGTGCTGCCTTGCATTGTGCTCTATAGCACACCCTGTCACCCCCACAGTTGCCCCTGGCAGGGGGGAGCTGTTGGCCTAATGGTGGGATGTGGGTGCCCTGCACTGGTGCCACTGCTAGTAGCTGTGCTCTACTGTGCCTGCAGGATACCATGGAGTACAAGAAGAAGCAGCGGCCCCTGAAGATCCGCATGCTGGATGGGACAGTGAAAACGGTGATGGTAGATGACTCCAAAACAGTCACGGACATGCTCATGACAATATGTGCCCGGATTGGTGAGGAGAGGGCAGAAACAGGAGGGAAGAAGGGAGGTGGGCAGAGAATGGCAGAATCTGACCGGCTTCTGCGGGATCAGCAGCAGCTCTGTGGCAGATGGCCTGGCAGCAGGGGTGTCTGAGGGGTGCATGACACTAGGGAGGGGACACTGCTCTGCACCCCAGCATCGCTCCATGCTCTGTATTTGGCAGAACAGTCGTGCTGAGTTTGGTTCTCTGCTCTACTGCAGGCATCACCAACTATGATGAGTACTCACTTGTACGGGAGATCATGGAAGAGAAGAAGGAAGAGGTTACTGGCACCCTCAAGAAGGACAAGACCTTGCTGCGAGATGAGAAGAAGATGGAGAAGCTCAAGCAGAAATTGCACACAGATGATGAATGTAGGTGCCTGGATGTGCTGGGAATGGGGTCAGCCTGTGCCGATGGCCTTGGTGAAGGGGAGCAAGGACCCCTGTGAGGGGACAAGGGTGTGGAGAGGAGCATATGGATGAGGGAACATGTGCCCATACTCCCTAGAGTATCTCCTGCCTGGGGGCACAGGGCAGAAGGGTGAGAGCTGGGATGCATCTGGCAGACATCCATTTCTTGCTTGGCATAAGCAGCCCCAGGGCTGGGACCAGCTGTGCCTTGGTGCCTGTCCCTGCTCACACCCTGGCATTGTCTGCAGTGAACTGGCTGGATCACGGCCGGACCCTGCGGGAACAAGGCATCGATGACAATGAAACACTGCTGCTGCGGCGCAAGTTCTTCTACTCTGATCAGAACGTGGACTCAAGAGATCCTGTGCAGCTCAACCTGCTCTATGTGCAGGTACAGCTTCCCAAAGCACCCTGACAAGGCTGGTGGCTGTCAGAAGCCATGATGGGAGGGTACTTTGGGATACCTAGTTATGTCCTGTGTAAGAGCCAACACTGGCTGGCAATCCCAGCCCTATCCTCTGTGTACTCCAGAGCTCCCCAGGGAATCCCATGTCAGCTCTGTCTGGTAGGAACCATCCTGAAATCTTGCTGGTGTTCCTCTCGCAGACTTGATGCCTGTAGGGAAGAGCCTGGTCCTACATACTCCTGTTTTTCAGAACCACTTCTTTCAAGTCTATAAAACATGTCGTGCTTGATATGGAGGAGAGCAATGACAGGGCTGCATGGCTGCCCAGCCCACAATGATGTCTTCTGTTCCCACGCAGGCTCGTGATGACATCCTGAACGGTTCCCACCCTGTCTCCTTTGACAAAGCCTGTGAGTTTGCTGGCCACCAGTGCCAGATCCAGTTTGGGCCATACAACGAGCAGAAGCACAAGCCAGGCTTTCTGGAGTGAGTGTCCTCAGGAGCCCCTGGGCTTGTCTCGAGGCATCTGGAGCATCTTTGCAGCACCCAGTGCCGCACTGCCTTGTGGGGCCCTGGGGGGGTTTGGGTGCCTGTGGTGTAACCACTCTCTTCCCAACAGCACAGTGCCCCAGTGTAGGGATCCACAGCAGCTTTGAGGAGTGCCAGCCCCCCATCCTGCTCCCTCTGGCAGCCCTACAGGGACATGCAGTCAGTAGCCCACCCTCTGGCCTGCCTTGATGCTGCACAAAGGGCTGCATTGTCAGCACCTTTACCCTGCTCTTAGCTACGGCAACTCCGAGGACAAGCTTTCATAGCTGTAGCAATCTCTCCCACATTCTTACTGCTTCCAAAAACCTCCAGCTTGTGCCCTGGCAGAGGCTTGTCTGGGGCTTTGGGTTGGACTTGTTCAAAGTCAAGGACAGACGCTGGCTTTGGGCTCTACTGCTAACAGCTCACTTGGCTGTCTTTTGGCAGACTCAAGGATTTCCTGCCCAAGGAGTACATCAAGCAGAAAGGAGAACGCAAGATCTTCTTGGTATGTGCAGTGGGGAGGTTGAGATCTGGAGTTTTTGTTCCTCCTCACTAAAGGTTGAGGCACTCCTGTCTAAGGAGGCTGAGGCACTCCTGTCTGAGGAGGCAGTACACAGCAGTCTGGTGGGTGAGAAATGGGAGCAGGAGCTGTGGGTAGACAAGGTAGTTCCTGAGGCTTCAGAGATCAGACCTAGGGCAGGGCATGCTGGTGGGGTGGGGACAGCCCAGGAGGACTGTGCAGTGGTGTCAAGGCAGGACTGAAGCTGGTGCAATGTTCTGTCTTTGCTGTTGCAGGCCCACAAGAACTGTGGGAACATGAGTGAGATCGAAGCCAAAGTTCGCTATGTGAAACTTGCTCGTTCCCTCAAGACCTACGGGGTCTCCTTCTTCTTGGTCAAGGTAGAGCAGCAGCCCCCCATGTCCATCTTCAGAGTCAGCAAAATTCTGCTTCTTCAGGATCCATCTGTTGTGTCTCCAGCTGCTTCCCCTCAGCCTATGTTGCTCCAGTATTTTCTGCGTCTCCCCTGTTGCATTTCCCTGTGCACTACCTTCCTACTCCTTGGTTCATGCTTGTTCTCATTGTCAAGCTACACGTGATAATTGTCACTGCTAGAAAGTGTGGCCTTGCGGGTGTTCTGGTAGCTATGGCTGACCTCAAATATCTCTGCCTTGATGGATCCATCTTGGGGATAGCCCACAGCCTTTCTGTTGTGGCCCACAGGAGAAGATGAAGGGGAAGAACAAGCTGGTGCCACGGCTGCTAGGGATCACCAAGGAGTGTGTGATGCGCGTGGACGAGAAGACCAAGGAAGTGATTCAGGAGTGGAGTCTGACCAACATCAAGCGTTGGGCAGCCTCTCCCAAGAGCTTCACCCTGGTAGGAACCAGTGCCGGTCCCCCATGCCTCTTCCCCACTGGTGCCCCTGTAGGGAGGTTCCCTCACTCCAGTCCCTCTCTCAGCTGCTGCTCCATGGTGGCACAGCCTTGCCCTCCTCTGGTGCCTCTCCCAGTGCTTGCTTTGGAGGCTGGCACTTAGGTGCTTAGTGCATACCAGAGGAGCTCAGGATGGTCGTCAGTGCCCTGCTCTGGTTCTACCCTGTGCTGTGCTGTTGCAGGATTTTGGAGATTACCAGGATGGTTACTACTCAGTGCAGACGACAGAAGGGGAACAGATCGCCCAGCTGATTGCTGGATACATTGATATCATCCTCAAAAAGGTGAGGCTGTGCTAATAGCCCCCCTCCAGAGAAGCATACAGAATGTGCCTTCCAACTGCCTCCAAACAAGCTTTGGCAGATAGTACTGCTGGGAAAGCTGGAGGCAGGGCAGGAGGACTTTGTGACTGGTATGGTGCCTGGGCTGCAGGAGGAGGGGAGGGCTTGGGGGTATAATTTTCTCTTTCCGTTTTCAGAAAAAGAGCAAAGATCACTTTGGACTGGAGGGTGATGAGGAGTCCACTATGCTGGAAGACTCTGTGTCTCCAAAGAAGTAAGTCTTCCAGGAGCAAGGGCAGCTGCTAAACAGAAGCTGAATGGAGAGTTTGCTCCAGGGAAGCTTGCAGCACAGCAAGAAGAGCTGCCGCTCCCACAGAGCCTGGTGCCAGAACTGTAGCCATCCCTTTACCTGGTATTTCTCCCCATTTCAGGTCAACAGTTCTGCAGCAGCAGTTTAACCGTGTAGGCAAGGCGGAGCTGGGCTCTGTGGCCCTGCCGGCCATCATGCGGACAGGGGCTGGAGGGCCAGAAAACTTCCAGGTGGGCACAATGCCACAGCCTCAGCTGCAAATCACCAGTGGCCAGATGCACCGAGGACACATGCCTCCTCTGGTAAGCTCTCCTTTTGCTCACCATAGGGCACAAACTCTGAGAGGTGACTGTCAGTCTTGTATAGACCAATCTGTTTGGGTCCATGACCAAACATTGTCTTGCTGTGAAGAGCGGGGGCTTTGTGCCACTGGCCTTGTGTGCTTGCTGGCCTGGCTGAGCTGGCGTCCTCCTGCACCTTCTCTGCAAACTTGAGTTACACCCCAGCATTTTCACCCAGCTAGTGACTGCAGCCACTCATTCAGGTTGTGACTGGACAGCTCCACTACTGTCTTTGGTTTGCAGCAGAACCTAATGCCATGTTTTGGTGCCCCCATTTCCTGTGCAGCTGGAGAAGCACTTGGAAAAGGCCGTGAGGAAGCTGATTTCTTTTGACCCATGTAGCCTAAGGGACAGGGAGGACTTGATGTGAAAGCCTTGTGGCATCTCACAGCATCTTCCCCCCACTCCTCAAGAGCTGCTTAACTGTGAGATTTGATTGTAACCACGGGATGAGGCATTTTCCAGTGGGAGTTGCAGAGTGGAGACTCCTCTAAGTTTTTGCTAAGTGCACTCCATTTTGTGGAGACCTGCCTAGAGTGGTACCATCAGCAGCATGTTGCAGGGGAGCATTTGAGCCAAATATGTAATCCTAGCTTCCAAGCCTTTGCCGTATCTCACTCAGTCTGTCTCTGTGTTGCAGACCTCCGCCCAGCAAGCCCTGACCGGCACTATCAACTCCAGCATGCAGGCTGTGCATGCAGCCCAGGCCACGCTAGACGACTTCGAGACCTTGCCACCTCTTGGGCAGGATGCTGTGAGTGCTGGGTGAAAGTGGGATGCTGGAGGTGGACCTTGCTGGAAACTGGGCTGGGTGAGGCTGGCCACATTCCCAGAAGCGTTAGAAGCTTCTGGGAAGATCTGCTGCCTGAAAAGAGATGGGGTTGTATCCCACTCTGTGGGCAGACATGGAGGGGACACTTGGTCATGTTGTTTGGTCAGGGTAGACAAGAGAGTTTGGGTGGTTACAAGTCTTCCCTCTCTTTTCCGTATATCCTCTTCCTTGCACTTCTCTGTGTGAGCATGTATGCAGCTACCCACCACTTCTACCGCCTGATCCTGATCCTCTTCTCCCCATTCAGGCATCAAAAGCTTGGCGCAAAAACAAGATGGATGAGTCGAAGCATGAGATCCACTCCCAAGTGGATGCCATAACTGCTGGCACAGCCTCAGTCGTCAACCTCACTGCAGGTATATGGAGATTTGGAGTAGAGGGATGCCCCAGTTCAAGAAAACTCTTGGTCTCTCTTGTCTGGCTGAAAGACTCCTGTTCCCTGAAAGGAAAACCACATCAGCAACAGGTGTGGGGATGCACTTGGAGCACATCCCATCCTGACTCCTCTCTTCCCTGTGCAGGGGATCCAGCAGACACAGACTACACTGCCGTTGGCTGCGCTGTCACCACCATCTCTTCCAACCTGACGGAGATGTCTAAGGGTGTGAAACTGCTGGCTGCACTGATGGAGGATGAGGGAGGGAACGGGCGGCAGCTTCTGCAGGCAGCCAAGAATCTGGCAAGCGCTGTCTCAGACCTACTGAAAACAGCACAGCCTGCCAGCGCTGAGGTGGGCAACTGGAGATGCTGTGGGACTGAGAGGAAGGGGGAAGCCAAGGGAAACCACTTAGTGAGGCTCGTGAGCCTGGTGTTGATTTTGTCTTGTTCCTTGCAGCCTCGCCAGAATCTCCTGCAGGCTGCTGGCCTAGTGGGACAAACCAGCGGGGAGCTGCTGCAGCAGATAGGGGAGAGTGATACTGACCCCCGGTTCCAGGTGAGTGCACCCAGCTGCAGCCAGGGACACCAGCTCCCTAAAACCATTGGCCTTTGCACAGGACCTCACAGGCAGGGTCTGAGCTGACCGTTTGCCGTTGCCCTGTGGTGACTTTGTGAGGGAGGGGACAGGCCATTGCCCATCTCTGTCTCTAGAGTGATATAACACCTCCTATCTTGTGGATTCTGTGTAGATCCCAGAAAACCGGTGTGCTTGGAGCTTGCCTGCCTCTGAACCAAAGACGGTAAAACAAGCCTGTAGGCTTGGCTTGGTGGTCCCTGCCATCTCCATTGTGAAGGGGCTCCTCTGGGAACTCTAATCTGAAATCTTTGGAGAAGGGCTCTTGCAAAATTCTACTTTTCTGGTGGTTGGATCTCAGAAGTCCGTGCACTCGGGTTGCTGCTGGAGCAAGTGCTGCTCTAGAGATCATCTCTTGCAGCCTCCTCAGCTCCTGCCTGCTGCTCCCTGCCTGTGGGAGCTGCCTGCCTGCCCCCTAAGAGACCCAGTATGGATGCAGCCCTGTCTGGCAGGGTTTTTTTTCAGATGAGCTGACTGCCAACTGGCTTGGTTTCCCATAATTGCTCCTTCCAGCACAAAGGAGGTAGCACACTGCTGGGGAGGACAATCTAGACGTATTAGAGACCAAAATACTCCAGAAAGACATGTTCATGGCAGCCACACAGCTTCAGCTGAGTAGAGAGGCCTTGAAAGATACCCAAGGGGAGCAGAAAAGCTAAGAGCAGGGCAGGAAGCCGTGTTTGGCCACACAGCAGAGCCAGGACAGAATATCCCCAAAGGTCAGATTTAAGACCTGGAAGACAATTTGCAGACAAGCAGCAGGATGTTTTGCCTCACACCTGTCAGACCCGAGTGTACGTACTTCCTTCTATGGGCTCAGATGGAGTGGTCTGGGGACTCTTGAATTGGATGCATGCACTCTCCAGTCTTTCCTCTTGTTGCAAAAGGTGATGAATTGCAGTGGGAGTAGTCTTGGCTTGCAGGAGGCGAGGGGATGCTGTGACTCTTCTGATTTGTGACTCTGAGGGGTGTGGGGCTGTTTGCTATGAGTACACACACAGCAGGATGTTGGCAGCTGCAGCAGGCAGAGAGCTCTGCCCTGCCTACCAAGATTTTTGCTATTTAGTACTGGTGCTGCCAGTTTTCACCAGCAGTGTGCCACAGGAGCTAATCCTGAAGGCTGCAGCGTGCTGTCTTGTCTGGTGCCCTGCAGGAAAGCAGTTTGTCGTGTGCTGGTGCCTCTTGGCACCTGTTATGTACCTGTCACGTCTCTCTTTTAGCTTCAGGAATAACAACAGAGATGCATTTTAGTTTGTCAGCCAAAAAGTTAGAATTGAAAATAAAAATAGCTAGCCTACCTGCAATACAGGTGACCAGCATGGGAGCATTTCCTGCTTGCCTCTTGCTGGCAGCTGCCCACGATGTGGGTGTGCCATGGCTTGCTTGTGCCTGCTGTTTGACCGGAAGGGTGTGTCATCTTTTCACTGTGTTCAAATGTTTGCAAACCCAATCAAATCCAGGCAGTACCAGCAGTGCCTGGCAGCAGGTTCTTGCTGTAGTAAAATCGGGGACAGGTGGTTGCCTGGGGAGTGGGTATTGCAGAGATGCTGAGCATTGCCCCGTGCAGGTGGTGTTCATGGCAGTGCAGGCTGCAGCTCAGGGCCAGGCTACAGCCTCACTGCCAGCTGTAGCACATAGTGGAGATGAGGTCGAGGTGTTGCCAGCCTTTCCAGATATTCAGTGCTGCTGGTGCTGGGACAGAGTGCATGAAAGGCCCCCAAGGGCTGACATTTCCCGTCTGAATATTTCACGAGAGCCCTGCAGATGGCTGCGGCTGCTCCCACTGGCATGGCTGCCTTGTTGACCCTTTCTGTCCCCTCCCAGGACATGCTTATGCAGCTGGCAAAGGCGGTGGCCAATGCTGCTGCTGCACTGGTGCTCAAAGCCAAGAATGTGGCTCAGAAAACAGAGGACGCTGCACTGCAGACACAAGTGATCGCAGCGGCCACCCAGTGTGCCCTCTCCACCTCCCAGCTGGTGGCCTGCACCAAGGTAAGCAACAAGGTTAACCCTTGCCTCAGCATGGCTAAGAGCTTCACCTGGCTGGGGGAGCAGCTTTGCAGCAGGCTCCTAGATGTGCCAGGACCTCATGTCCTAAGGCAGGACTTGGCGAATCTGGTACAGGAAGTGTGCACTGCCTCTTGTTGGGAATCCCTGCCACTGTGCCCAAGCAATGAGGATCCTCTTTGGAGGAGCAGAAGTTTGGGATAGCTCCTCCACGGAGCATACCATGCTTGCTGCCCAGCCTTTCTCCTCCCTTCCAGGTTGTGGCTCCCACAATCAGCTCCCCAGTTTGCCAGGAACAGCTGATTGAGGCTGGCAAGTTGGTGGCCAAATCGGCTGAGGGCTGTGTGGAGGCCTCTAAGGCAGCCACCAGTGATGACCAGCTCCTGAAGCAGGTGGGGGTGGCAGCCACGGCTGTCACCCAAGCCCTGAACGACCTGCTGCAGCACATCAAGCAGCATGCCTTGGGTGGGCAGCCCATCGGGCGCTACGACCAGGCCACTGACACCATCCTCAATGTCACCGAGAATATATTCAGCTCCATGGGTGATGCAGGTGAGACTGTGACCCCCAGGGTAGAGCACAATGGCTAGAGAGGTATCAGAGAGCCCTTGGGGCTTGCTAACAGGCCACGCTTCCATTCTGTTCCAGGGGAAATGGTGCGTCAGGCTCGTATTCTGGCCCAGGCCACCTCTGACCTTGTCAATGCCATCAAAGCTGATGCTGAGGGAGAGACAGACCTGGAGAATTCACGCAAGCTTCTGAGTGCAGCTAAGATCCTGGCTGATGCCACTGCCAAGATGGTGGAGGCTGCAAAGGTCAGTGTGTGGGGAAGGATGGATGCTGGCTTTGGCCCCAGCCCTGTCAAATGCTATTGGCTCAGTGCTGGGTAGGGAATGAGCAGCCCCTCATTGAGCAGCAGTTCCCAGAGCAAGGACTTGCACTGAGCCAGGGACCTGTAGGGTGGGCTCCTTATGTGAAGGAGCTTCAGGAAGCTATGGGTGTAGCAGAGGAGCTGTTATGTCTCTTGCCAACGGACTCTTCCAGAAAGGCTTTCAGCCTCTCCTGAGTACCATAAACAGGGCTGTCTTGTGGGGGCCAGAGCAGAGGTGCTACTTCAGGAAGAAAAGGGTCTCCATCGTCTCTGAGAGGTGTGATGGCTTTTCTGTTTTCTCCAGGGAGCTGCAGCCCACCCGGACAGCGAGGAGCAGCAGCAGCGGCTGCGTGAGGCAGCAGAAGGGCTCCGCATGGCAACCAATGCTGCAGCCCAGAATGCCATCAAGAAGAAGCTTGTGCACAAGCTGGAGGTGAGATGCTGCACAAGGACCTGCAGAGGGCAAGCAAGCACAGTCAGTGAGCAAGACCTGACCAGGAGCCCCGATATAACTCCTCTTTATATATACATACTGTCCATGCCGCATCACAGAGAGATCTCTCTTCCCCTGTGTGCACTGTTGCTTTGGGGTGCTAGGCATTGAGGGTGTTGGGGATGCTTGGGTGCCACAGGAGTAGGCACAGGAGAAGTTGTTTGGGGAATCTGGGCCCTGGTCTTGGGGGTGCTCGATACAGACTGCCGGTGTTAACCTGTGCCTCCCTGTGCCAGCACGCAGCCAAGCAGGCTGCTGCCTCGGCCACGCAGACCATCGCTGCCGCACAGCACGCCTCGTCCTCCAACAAGAACCCTGCCGCGCAGCAGCAGCTGGTGCAGAGCTGCAAGGTAAGGGCCTGGGCCTGATCCTAGCATCTCCTGTGCTCCCTCTCCCCATCTCATCTCCCATCAGCCATGCTGATGCTTCCTGCTCCACAGCAGTGGTCAGACTGGATCCTGGGGTGCTCACTAAGATCCTGTTGGAGCTGATCTTTTAATCACCAGTCCTGGGTTGAATCCATGTCCTTCTGACTGATCCTCTCCGGTGACCCTTTTCTCTCGCAGGTGGTGGCAGAGCAGATCCCAATGCTGGTGCAAGGTGTGCGAGGAAGCCAGTCCCAGCCAGACAGCCCTAGCGCCCAGCTGGCTCTCATTGCGGCCAGCCAGAACTTCCTGCAGGTATCCATGCTGCCCAGAGCCTTCCATGCCAGCTCTGGCATTACAGCTTTCCTACTGTGCCTGTCTCTTTAAGACTCTGGGAAATCTGCACAGAGGCAACTGAGACACTGCATATTTATCCCCTTCTCACTGCTTTTTTTTCTGGCCCAACAGCCTGGTGGTAAGATGGTAGCTGCAGCCAAGGCCACCGTCCCCACCATAACGGACCAAGCCTCTGCTATGCAGCTCAGCCAGTGTGCCAAGAACTTGGCCGCAGCTCTGGCTGAGCTCCGCACAGCTGCCCAGAAGGTGAGAGGCTGAGTCCCATCCTGCAGTGAGACACCAGCTGTGCAGAGCAGTGGGGAATGGTGGGGACAGCCTGGTGGCAGGTTCTGGTCTCTGCCCTAGCCAGGTAGACTCAATGGTCACCTGCTCACCTTCTCTTCTGCCCCATCACAGGCTCAAGAGGCATGCGGACCCTTGGAGATAGACTCTGCACTGGGTCTGGTGCAGAGCCTGGAGAGGGACTTGCAGGAAGCCAAGGCAGCTGCCCGTGATGGCAAGCTCAAGCCTCTGCCAGGAGAGACGGTGAGGGTGCAGGGAAGGGTGGTCTCTGGGGCAGTGGAGTTGCCAAAAAGTGAAGCTCATCAGCATGTCCCAACTCGGCCCCCTTGCAGATGGAGAAGTGTGCCCAGGACCTGGGGAACAGCACCAAAGCTGTCAGCTCTGCCATTGCTCACCTTTTGGGAGAGGTGGCCCAGGGCAATGAGAACTACACAGGTACTGGCCTCCACAACAGGGCTGGGGAAAAGGGCACTGGGCTGACAGGCACTGACCTCTACATCTCCCCAGGAATTGCTGCCCGGGAAGTGGCTCAGGCCCTGCGCTCACTCAGCCAGGCTGCCCGTGGTGTGGCAGCCACCACCTCCGACCCTCAGGCACAGAGTGCCATGCTGGAGTGCGCCAGTGATGTCATGGACAAAGCCAACAACCTTATTGAGGAGGCCCGGAAAGCAGTGGCCAAGCCTGGTGACCCAGAGAGCCAGCAGCGCCTGGCCCAGGTGGGGACAGTGGGTACCCCAGTGTGCCCCATCAGGCTGTGGGGAGGGTGTGGGGCTGACTGGGAGTTGTTAACCTCTCTTTGCTTCCCTGCAGGTGGCGAAAGCAGTGTCACAGGCCCTGAATCGCTGTGTTAACTGCCTGCCAGGGCAGCGGGACGTGGATGCTGCCATCCGCATGGTGGGAGAAGCCAGCAAGAGGCTGCTTTCGGATTCGGTGAGCTGAGCTGGGGCAGGAGGGGAAGGGGGAGGTCTTCTGGCAATGCAGACTGGTCCAACTGCATTGGGTTCCTCTAGCATATCCCCAAGCATGTGCCAGACTTTCATCTGCCATCTCCACTCATCTCTCTGCCTCTCCTAACCTATCTCTTTCCAGTTCCCTCCCAGCACTAAGAGCTTCCAGGAGGCGCAGAGCCAGCTGAACCAGGCAGCAGCAGGGCTCAATCAGTCTGCCAATGAGCTGGTGCAGGCATCGCGTGGCACCCCTCAAGACTTGGCCAAGTCCTCTGGCAAATTCGGACATGACTTCAATGAATTCCTGCAGGCAGGAGTGGAGATGGCCAGCCAGTCCCCGGTGAGAGGAAATGCCTGTTGGGGTATCCTGAATGCTGGGAGAGATTTGGGATATCTGAGAAGGCGGCTGACCAAAAAAGCAGGGTGGCCAGACCGTGGTGGTTAAGGTGGCTGTGGCCAATGCAGCCAGGGATATGGGGACTGAAGCTGTGCAAACCCACAGCAACAGGGAGAACGTGGCTTGGGTTGGTTTGGCAAGAATTCATATATCCTTGCTGTTGGCGGACAAATTGGATGAAGGGAACTAGCTCAGCTTGAAAGTCCCCAGAGAAGACCCAGGATGGGTGTGGACTTTAAAAAGGTGCTGCAGAAAACTCATCCTGGTTCCTTGCAGAATAAGGAGGACCAAGCACAGGTGGTGTCGAACTTGAAGAGCATTTCCATGTCCTCCAGCAAGCTGCTGCTGGCTGCAAAGGCTCTCTCTGCTGATCCTGCCGCCCCCAACCTCAAGAATCAGCTGGCAGCAGCAGCACGGTAAGAGGAATTGCTCCCTGAGAGCGGCTGGCTGAGTAGTGGGGCTGGGTGGTGGGGCAGGCATTGATCTGTGGATCTTTCTCTCATGTCCCTGGCAGGGCTGTGACTGACAGCATTAACCAGCTGATCACCATGTGCACCCAGCAGGCCCCAGGCCAGAAGGAATGTGACAATGCCCTGCGGGAGCTGGAGGTAAGAAGCCGCATATTGAAAAGGCAGTGGAGGGATTGAGATGTTGGGTATGGGGGGAGCTGCACCCTACTGCCAGGAACAGGAGGGAATGAAGAGGAGGTGCAAGCGCAGAATGCAGAACATTCCTCTGGGCATGACACCTGTCTCCCTGCAGACGGTGAAGGAACTGTTGGAGAACCCCACCCAGACTGTCAATGACATGTCCTACTTCAACTGCCTTGACAGTGTCATGGAGAACTCCAAGGTAAGCCCTGAATGGAGGTTTGGGGAAGAACAAGGAGGGCTTGGGAAGGATATGGGAACAAAGGGAAAGGTGGTTTCTCCCCTACTGATGAAGTACAGTGAGCTCTGACCCTGGGAGCCCTGCGGGAGGCAGTCTCCGTAATCAGTGTGTGGCGTGTCCTACAGGTGCTGGGAGAGTCCATGGCTGGCATCTCCCAGAATGCCAAGAACAGCAAACTGCCCGAGTTCGGCGACTCCATCAGTGCCGCTTCCAAAGCTCTCTGTGGGCTAACAGAGGCAGCTGCCCAGGTGAGACACACTCAGTCCCAGCCGCCTTACTGCAGGGGCATAATTGTTGCATGCACCCCACCCCTGTCCTTCCAAATCATGCTGCCAGACTCCGTGGCAGCCTATGCCTCTGTGAGCCGCCCTGCAGTGTGCAGACTCTCTCTCACCGCATCTCCCATGCTCCTAGGCTGCCTACCTTGTGGGGGTCTCAGACCCCAACAGCCAGGCTGGACAGCAGGGCTTGGTGGACCCCACTCAGTTTGCTAGAGCTAACCAAGCCATCCAGATGGCCTGCCAGAACCTGGTGGACCCTGCCTGTACTCAGTCCCAGGTGAGTATGGGGTGGGGTTCCATTACAGGCATTTGCTTGCATCGAAAGGAGTATGAGACTCGTTGGAAGTGCTGCATCCCAAGAGTTGGCCAATATGATGGCTAGTGTCTCATCAGGCCCCATCAGCTGCACTAGGAACCAGCTGGCGGCTTTGGTGCAGTGGTAACAGTCCAGATAGGGGGCTCTGTGGGCATGCAGGATCTTGGTGATCCTTCTTGGGTCCCAAAAGGGATGCCTGTTGTCACCAGTGCCCTACATAGGGTGGATGAGAAGGGAGAACTGTAGGAATAGCGAGTCATGGTGGATCCTGCCTTACTCTGCTTTCCCCTGCAGGTACTGTCAGCAGCCACCATTGTAGCAAAACACACCTCAGCTCTGTGCAACACGTGCCGTCTGGCGTCCTCCCGGACTGCCAATCCTGTGGCCAAGCGCCAGTTCGTCCAGTCAGCCAAGGAGGTGGCCAATAGCACAGCCAACCTGGTGAAGACCATTAAGGTGCGGAGTCCTTTCTATGGTGTGGTAGTGATGGGATTTGGGGTGCAGTGGGGGTTGGGTAACTGCTCTGGTCTCTCCACACCAGGCCCTGGATGGCGAGTTCAATGAAGAGAACCGGGAGCGATGCCGTGCTGCCACAGCCCCTCTCATAGAGGCTGTGGATAACCTGACAGCCTTCGCCTCCAACCCAGAATTTGCCACCGTTCCTGCTCAGATCAGCCCAGAGGTGGGATGCTGCTGGGACAGGGAGGATGGAGCCTGGCTATTACAGGCTCTGCTCTGGGGTGGAGAGAAACTGTGCCTTCCCTGACCCTGGGGGGCCTGCACTGAGGGGGTGATAGGGAGATAGCCACAAGCCTTGGGCTTCAAGGGGCTGCTCCAGGGAAAGGGTCATGGGAGAGAGAGCAACTTTTCATTCACACTCCCTTACCTCACCAGCCTGTTGTCTCCTTGTACAGGGGCGCAGAGCCATGGAGCCCATTGTCATTTCAGCCAAGACCATGCTGGAGAGCTCTGCTGGCCTCATTCAGACTGCTCGCTCTCTGGCTGTCAACCCCAAGGACCCACCACAGTGGTCAGTGCTTGCTGGCCACTCACGCACAGTCTCAGATTCCATCAAGAAGCTGATCACCAACATGAGGTGAGCAGAGTCCTTCTTCTGTGGCTGTGGCTTTGTCCCTGCTGGCAGATACCTCTGCCCTGAGCAAGCATTCCTGGGGATGTTTTGGCTCATCATCTCCTTGGACACAACTGGTGTAGGGAGGCAAGGGATGGGATGGGATGGGATGGGATGGGATGGGATGGGATGGGATGGGATGGGATGGGATGGGATGGGATGGGATGGAAGACACTTTTGTCCCTCGTGGAAGCTGCTCCTCCAGTTCTCACATGGGTTGATGGGAACACACACTGATGTGCCCAGGCTCTATCACACTGACTTGCCCTAAAGCCCAGGAGAGGGGTCTTGCTCCTCACCAGCACCAGGCAAGGCTGGGGTTGAAAGAGTGGTGTAGCAGCTGCCAGTGCTTGGCTGATTCATCTGTCACTCAGGGACAAAGCTCCAGGACAGCGGGAGTGTGATGAGGCCATTGAGGTCCTGAACAGATGCTTGCGGGAGGTGGACCAGGCATCCCTCGCTGCCATCAGCCAGCAGCTGGCCCCCCGACAAGATATCTCCCAGGAGGTGGGTCAGGGACACCCTGTGGGGCAAGCCTGAGGGAGTGGGCATCCTTCGCTGGGCTCTCAGCAGCATGAAGAGACCCCAGCCCTGCTGCAGCCTCATGCACCACCCTCTCTTTGCACAGGCATTGCACAATCAGATGATCACAGCTGTCCAGGAGATCAGCAACCTGATCGAGCCTGTGGCTGCTGCAGCACGGGCTGAGGCCTCACAGCTGGGGCACAAGGTAATGGGAGTTTGGCACTTGGTGCCTGGAGAAGAGAGGTGAAGGCAGCTGGGTCTGGAAACTGCTGGTGCTGACACTGTTCTTCCCTAGGTATCCCAGATGGCTCAGTATTTTGAGCCACTCATTATGGCAGCTGTTGGCGCTGCCTCCAAGACACCCAACCACCAGCAGCAGATGAACCTCCTGGACCAGACCAAAACACTGGCTGAATCTGCCTTGCAAATGCTGTACACAGCCAAGGAGGCCGGTGGGAACCCCAAGGTGAGCAGGAGGGGCATGTGCCAGTGGCATGCCCACCTTGCATGTGGGTGCTTCATGGTGCACACGCACGAGCCAGACGTGGAAAACCCAGGGTCAGTGTGCAGTATCCCCATCCCTGTTGGGAGGGGAGCCGCAGCCTGCCTTCCATCATTCTTACTTCTCCTTGTAGCAAGCTGCCCACACTCAGGAGGCTCTGGAAGAGGCTGTGCAGATGATGAAGGAAGCAGTGGAGGACCTGACCACCACCCTGAATGAGGCAGCCAGTGCTGCAGGTGTTGTGGGGGGCATGGTGGACTCCATCACCCAAGCCATCAACCAGGTAAGGCAAGCAATGACAGGGCTGGGTGTGAGAGAGAGGAAGAGTGAGGGTCAAACCCTACAAGTTAAAGACCTTGTGGGTCAGAGCTGGAGTGAGAATCTCCTGGTGGTTTCTTGCAGCTGGACGAAGGGCCCATGGGTGAGCCAGAAGGTACCTTTGTGGATTACCAGACCACGATGGTGAAGACAGCCAAGGCTATTGCGGTGACTGTGCAGGAAATGGTGGGTGCAAGCAAGCCTATCACTGTAGAATGCACTGCCTGCCACTCAGTCAGGCTACTGCCCTCCTTGCCCTGTCCAACTCCTGCTCTTCTTCCATCAACAGGTCACCAAATCCACCACCAACCCAGATGAGCTGGGCATACTGGCCAACCAACTCACCCATGACTATGGGCAGCTGGCACAAGAGGCCAAGCCGGCTGCCCTCACTGCTGAGAATGAGGAGGTGCGAGCCTGGGGGAAGTGCTGGAGTGTGTGTGTGAGGCAGAGCAGAGGCTGTTGGGGCGTGAGAACAGAGGAGACGGACACTTGAACCTCCCATTGGAGCTGGGGGCAGGCAGCTTTCACACCTCCCCTGGAACATGGCATAGAAACAAGGAGCAAAGCTGTGTTTCCTTTTTCCTTCTCCTGAGTGGGAGGATTGGGAAAGAAGAGCTGGGTGGCGGGTGTTTCCCAGTGGGTATCACAGATGCAGGGCTTAGTTCCCTGCTGACTCTGTCACACACACATTCCTCTGCAGATCGGCTCCCACATCAAGCGCCGGGTGCAGGAGCTGGGTCATGGCTGTGCTGCCCTGGTCACCAAGGCTGGAGCCCTGCAATGCAGTCCCAGTGATGCCTACACCAAGAAGGAGCTGATAGAGAGTGCACGCAAGGTTTCTGAGAAGGTAGGTGGTCGAGAGGGAGGTTTGACAGCGTGGTGCTGTTGGGAGGGATGCTGGATTGAGCCATGTGCCCTTGGAGCCACCATGCTGGGTTCTTTCCTGGTCCTGTTGGATTCTGTGGCTCTCTTGGCCACACTCCCCATACCCAGCTGATGGGGTGGAGGATGAACCCCCCTCTGCAGACACTATAACAGCACCTGGTGCTTGTGGTGGATGAGTGTGATGTCCGGGTGCTGCAGCCTGCCTGGGAAAACTGACCTACATACTGGTGATGGGCCAGGGCTCTCCAGATGAGTTTTTGCAGAGTTAGGCAAAGCATCTGCAGCAATGCTTGCAGCTCATACTCAGTGATCAGTCTTCCCTTCGCCTTTTGCTAGCATCCTGTCCATCAAGTCAGTCTAGAGGGCACACTTCTGAAGAGCAGACGAAAATGTGGCTTAAAAAGTCTAGTTGATAAAGGTAGAGCAGCAGTGCTTGTAAGGAAAAACACAAAAGTAAGCACTTGTCAATTGTGTCTGGCATCTGCCAATCTTAGTAATTTGAAAACTAACAGAGTCCAGCATTCTCTTAGGCCATCAAACATGATAGATGCAAGGTAAGAATAAATAACTGAAAGCTAAAAAGGGATGTGCAGACCAAAATATTCCCTGTGGAATGGGAGCAGCTCCACCCTTGGGGGTGTTGGAGGTGTGTGTCGTGAGGATTCCCTGAACCTGTTCTGCTCTCCCAGTCACTTTACTTGTACCCCACAGGTATCTCATGTGCTGGCAGCTCTTCAGGCTGGGAACCGTGGGACACAAGCCTGCATTACAGCAGCCAGTGCTGTCTCTGGCATCATCGCTGACCTTGACACCACCATCATGTTTGCTACAGCAGGAACCCTCAACCGGGAGAACTCTGAGACCTTTGCTGACCACAGGTACCCACGCACTGTGTCCAGCCTCTGCTCAGACAGAGACAGGGGTGTCAAGCTCTCTCTGTGGTCTTTCTGAGCTGTGAACCAGCCCCAAGGAGAGCTTCCAGCTCAGGTTGTGCTGGCTCAGTTTCCCAAAATTCCAGCTTGTACATGGAAAAACCAGGATCCACAGTCTCTCTGTACCCCGAGATCCACAGTCTCTCTGTACCCCAGGATCCATAGTCTCTCTACACCCCAAGGACCACATGTGCAGCAGAGGGCTGTGTCCTCCCTGATGCAGTTTTTCTCTCCAGGGAGGGCATCTTGAAGACAGCCAAGGCACTGGTGGAGGACACCAAGGTGTTGGTGCAGAACGCCACGGCCAGCCAGGAGAAGCTAGCCCAAGCTGCCCAGTCCTCTGTGTCAACCATCACCCGCCTGGCAGAGGTGGTGAAGCTGGGTGCTGCCAGCCTGGGATCTGAAGACCCAGAAACCCAGGTGTGATTGGGTGTGTGGGCTGAGTGGAGGCTGCTGGTAGCTTACTCGGAGGGGTTGAGAGATGCAGATGTCATGTGGTGCTCAGGCTGGATCCCAGGAGTTGGGGAGAGAGGCGGCTGGGCTTTGACTGGTGCTGGCTGAGCTGGACTCCATGTGGGACCTGTGGTGCCCAAATCTCTCACTGCTGAGCCACACCACCCCCAGCCTAAGTGTGACTTTAGCTCAGCAATTCCTCTGGTCTTACTCTCCCCAGGTGGTCCTGATCAATGCTGTGAAGGATGTGGCCAAGGCACTTGGAGACCTTATCGGTGCCACCAAAGCAGCTGCTGGCAAAGCTGGAGATGACCCTGCTGTCTACCAGCTGAAGAACTCTGCCAAGGTCTGTGCTGATTGTGATGGGAAGAAGGGGCTGGAGAAGGAGTAGGGTTTTTTCTGCCTGATTGGACACAGGAGCACTACTGGGGTGCAGTCAGGACAAAAGGGTAGGAAGGGACACAAAAACGGTGGAACACAGCATGCAGAGGAGCAATTGAGGCAGTGTGAGTGGAGTATGAGGATAGGGCAGTTTTGGACCAATCCACAAGGGAAGGACAGGTGCTGGCAACCGGCCAGAGCTTGTGTGGGGATTCACCTGGCTCTCTTTCTCCTTCTTTAGGTGATGGTGACAAACGTAACTTCCTTGCTGAAGACAGTGAAGGCTGTCGAGGACGAGGCCACGAAGGGGACACGGGCACTGGAGGCCACAATTGAGCACATCCGCCAGGAGCTGGCGGTGAGTATGTGCGCGGTGCTGCGGCTGCCGCGCTGCTTGCCTGCCACCCCGCGCTCACCGCTGCCTCTCGCCTCGCAGGTCTTCTCCTCCCCGGTTCCTCCCGCCAAGGTCTCCACCCCAGAGGACTTCATCCGCATGACAAAAGGCATCACGATGGCCACAGCCAAAGCGGTGGCTGCTGGCAACTCGTGCCGCCAGGAGGACGTCATTGCCACAGCCAACCTGAGCCGCCGGGCCATCGCAGACATGCTGCGCTCCTGCAAGGTGGGGCAGGCGGGCAGTGGGTGTGGATCTCTAGCACGGATTTTTGGGTGGAGGCAGGGATGGTGCTTGATGTGAATCGGTGTTTCCCTGTGTCCGGGTTGCAGGAAGCAGCCTACCACCCGGAGGTGAGCGGGGACGTGCGGCAGCGGGCGTTGCGCTTTGGCAAGGAATGTGCTGATGGCTACCTGGAGCTGCTGGAGCATGTGCTGGTGGTGAGTGTCGCCACCCCGGTTCCTAGGGTAGGCAGAGGCTGACTGTGGATTGCCTGGGTGGTCCCCAAATCCCCAAGGTCTTCTGGGCTCTTCACCTCTTCCCACCGAGGCCTTTGTGCAGCCCCTTTTTGCTGCCTGTGCTGGCACGGCATGTGTCCATGCCCCTGCCATGGGAGCAGATGTCAGAGAGCTCAACAGGCTATAAGAAAGGTATTTTCCTAGCAACAGATGGAGATTACCTGGCTGCAAACAGATGAAGGCTGGAAGTCAATAACAGAGTAGCATAATCTTGTAAAAATACAGCTTCCAGTAAAAGTGGTAGGAATAACAAACCTCAGTGGGAAGACAAAACTTGTCATGCCCACAGAACTATGTGTGGGAGATGGACAGTGCCTGCCATAGCAAAGATAATGACTGCAAGCGCCTGCTGCACCCTTTTGATCCAGTCTACCTCTGACTGAGTCCTCCCAAGGATTTCAGCTGCAACATTAGTTTACAAGAAGTAAATTAAGCCTCTAGCATGGTAGAAAAGATCCAGTGAAGTCCTTCCAACTGTTTGCATTCTTGGCAAGACCACAGAAGTGGAGTGAGGGGCACTGTGGGGATGTGCACACTCAACCCATGGTGCTGTGAGATTTTTCAAACTGGGGTCAGGGCAAAGACTGACAGTGATTCAGCTCTGTGTCAAGATTACGCTAAGCTGGTTAGTGAGAGTCTGCTGTCTGGGATCACCAGCTACAAAGTGGTGGAGCCCAGGCTGTAGGGAAAGCCCCCTTAGGCAGAGGGCCTAGAGGGTAGCCAGCACTGGCACAGCAGCAGGGGGAGGTGGGCAGGAGTTGATGGCTAGAAATTGAAGCTGAGTAGAGGAGTGTGGACACACACATTTAGACAGCTAGAGAATTACAGCTTGGAAATTCTTTTTCAGGCCTGAATTTCTCCTGACTCTCAGGTCTGTTCCTAAGATGATAAGATAGCTTTAGCTGCAGTCAGGGAGAAAGTCTACCAAGGTGATAATATGGTAAAAAACAGAGTGGAATTCATAATAAAGATTAACACCTAGTGTCTTTCCCGTGGGATTCATCCTGATGTACTCTCCCATAGATGTTTTTCCCAATTGTCCAATGAGCTACTGTTCTGTCCTAGCTCCACATAACATGCTCTAAATACGGGCTGTCCAAACAATAAAGTTAGCCTTTTTTCCCTAAAGAGGTCCATGCGTGTTACTGTCCTTTCTCTCTCCATTTAACGCAGTGACCACAGAGGAGAAGTCAAAGGGTAGTTTTATTCAAGGGAGGTAACCACTGGGGTACAGTTCCAAGGGGAGCAGTGAGTTTTCCATCCTCTGCATCTAGATCAAATGTCTGCCTGGAAGATGCTTCAGGCACACATGAATCATGGCAGCCAAGGCTGGAGTGCTGAGTAGAAATTCTCTGGCTGACCTGTTGTTAACAGATGATTAGGCTAATGACTTAGTGTGGCAGTGCCCGAGGTCAGCCTACTTGCAGGAACACGCCATTCCCTGTATTTTGGGTGTTACCATCCTGCTGCCATGCAATGTTTTGACTATCATACATTGGAACATCCCTTAAAATGTTCACTGGAGATGCCTCTTAGTAAGCTTGTAGCCTCCGGGATGCCTTCAGCTCCAGACAGAGATAATTTAGCAGTTTTAAGCACGTTGTCAGAGCAGACACCAGGCTTAATAATAAGGCATTTAGACTAGATGTGCTCAAGAGGGCAAACCAGCCATCAATGTGTGCCATCAGCTTGAGTACTCTGAGCCTCATGTTGCTCTAGTGACTCTGCAGGGATGGTCCAACACAAGGGCAGGAAAAAGCCATGATTCACCTCAGTCTGCATAGCACTCTGGTCTGTGAAGGCAGGAGTGAAGCTCACAGATCCTGTTTATCGGAGGACAGCAGGTTTCTGGGAAGCCACAAGCAGGAAGGATCTAGGGGAATGGGAGGGGAGATGGCAGATGGCAGATGAGCTGCTGCCTCATTCCCCAGCAGCAGCAAGGTCATTGCTGTACACTATGTCCCCAAGGGAACCAGTGCCTTCTGCAGAGCATGAACAAGTATGGTTAGGGTTCAAGAATAAGGGTTATTTGTCTCAGGCTGGAAAACATGGCTCCCGGCAGAGGAGTGGGAAAGCCTGCATATTTCACTGGGGAGGGGTAGGAATTTGAACTTCCATGGGGACTTGGTATTTGGTAACAATAGGTCTCTCCCTCCAAAAGCAGAGAGATTCTGTGACTCAAAACTGCAGTGAAGCAATTCAGGGCTGGGAGAAATAAGGTGTAAAGGGTGTGAGGAGGAGAGTGGATCCATGGCTACCCTGTGTGTAGGTGGCTCCTCTGCCTGTGGGAGCCTCATCCAGGTGCCCTGTTTTGCCCAGGCCTGCAAGGCTGAAGTAAGAGCTAATGATGGCAGCACAGCTCCCCACCCAGGATCTCTGATCCTTTGTTCCCACTTTTCCTCTTGGCTGCTGTTCACCCCTCACTAAGAAGCACCCACCTTCCCCTATCTCCCCTCCTCCTGGCTGGGGCGTTCACTGCTTTCTTTTCTTTCTTCTCTCTTCTCTCTCCTCCCTATCAGCCGGTGAGTAAGGCAACACTGGAGTGCCTGCTGGTCTCTAACCTCCGCATGAGCCTTGCTCATGGAGTGTCTGTGTGCCCAGCCCAGTGCTGGGGTGGGACTTGCTTGTGTCCACAGGGACCCTGGGGTCCATGTGTTTGTGTCTGTGTACTCACCCCTGCTCTAGCTGATGGGCAGCTGCTGCCTGTGTGGTGGAAGTCGGGCCCGCAGTGAGCTCTGCTTGTGCATACACACCTCGTGTGCGTGCACACATGTGCTGTGGTGTGTGCATGTGTTCCTCCAACCCAGAGGAGGACCCTTAGGGCACTGCCTGCCAGCTCATCCTGATGGGGCCAGCCCTCCTTGGCTGGGATGTCACTCCAGGGTATGCCCTTTTGCCTAGCTTGTGTTTGCAAAGAAACCAAACAGGGACAGAAAAGGGGATATGCTTCTGGAGCTTGAAATGATTTGCAGGGGAGAAATCTTGGCATGGGTAGCTGCTGAGTGCAGAAAGGCTTGTGCTTAGGGTCTTGTGTCTGTAAAATGTCCCAGAAGCTGTGGATGCAGGAGGGCCCTGGGGAAGCTCATCCTATCTTGGGGCACAAAGAGAATAGCCAGAGTCTCTTGAGAAGGCATCTCAGACAGTGCCTGTTGTGTACACATATGGGAGGGGGCTGGGGGATCCCACCCTACTTCCCTGGGGAGTGCACCCCAAACAGACCTATGAAGTCCCCCTTTTCCAGGTGCTTACATCTGCTCCTTCCCCTCCAGATCCTGCAGAAGCCAACCCATGAGCTGAAGCAGCAGCTGGCAGGCTACTCCAAGCGCGTGGCCAGCTCTGTCACCGAGCTCATCCAGGCAGCCGAGGCCATGAAAGGTAAGGAAAGATCCTGCTCAGAGGGGCAGGACTGAGGGCTGAGATTAGGGTGGATGGCTCAGCAGCTGTTAGAGGAGGCAGGGAAACTCAGAAATGAGGCTGCATACAGGTGTAACCTGCTTGGCTTCCCGGTGTTCCTAGGGACAGAGTGGGTTGACCCAGAAGACCCCACTGTCATCGCTGAGAATGAGCTACTGGGGGCAGCAGCTGCCATTGAGGCTGCAGCCAAGAAGCTGGAGCAGCTGAAACCAAGAGCCAAGCCCAAGGTAGCAGTGCTGAGCCTTGTCTGGTCTTTGTACTCAGCTTGGGATGGGCTGGGGATCTCCTGCCTGTGCTTTAGCCAGGCTTGAAGACCCATCTGTCAGCTGGTCCCTCTTCCTCTATTCCTGCTACCTCCCACATCCCCAGCTGGACGTTCCTCGGGTAGCCCATGTCCTGCTGCACCCCACAGCCCTTAATCTAGCCTTATATGTTTCTGCTCAGCCCCCTGCAGCCATCTTTCTGTTCTGCTCTATCTGTCCCAGCACTCCTGCTTGGGACTTATTCTGCTTTTGCCCGCAGCAAGCAGACGAGAGCCTGAACTTTGAGGAGCAGATCCTGGAAGCTGCCAAATCCATTGCTGCAGCCACGAGTGCCCTGGTGAAAGCAGCCTCAGCAGCTCAGCGGGAATTAGTGGCCCAAGGAAAAGTAAGGCTGTAAGAGGGGTAAAGAGGAAAATGTAAAGAAGGGTTCTCCCTTCTTCTGGGGTTGCTTGTAACCCTTATGCCTGTGACAAGAGGTGTGCAGGATGGTAACCCTTACTTCTCTCCTCTTCTTAGGTGGGTGCCATCCCAGCCAATGCAGTGGATGATGGACAGTGGTCCCAGGGTCTCATTTCAGCTGTGAGTATCAAGGTCATGGTGAGGGGTTGAGGGGGAAACTTTCCTCTTGACTCCTGCTGCAAACATGAGGATGCTCAGTCCTTTTGCTTGTCGTCAGTATTCCTCCCTATCCCACAGCTAAAGAACAGCTGGTTCTTTCCATCCCACACCCTACAACCTCCTTGGAGCCAATCAGGGCTCCTGTACCTCCCCTGACAGCCTCTCTTGCCACAGGCACGCATGGTGGCTGCTGCCACCAACAACCTGTGTGAAGCTGCCAACGCTGCGGTGCAGGGCCATGCCAGTGAGGAGAAGCTCATCTCCTCTGCCAAGCAGGTGGCTGCTTCCACAGCCCAGCTTCTGGTGGCCTGCAAGGTGAAGGCTGACCATGACTCGGAGGCCATGAAGCGGCTCCAGGTGAGTCCTAGGCTGCCTCTTCAGCCCCTATTGTTTGAAGGATGGCTGGGAGTACAGTGAGGGCATGTGGATGTTCTCCGCAGCTCATGCTCCCTGCCCGTATGCCATCAGTGGGAAGTTCATTGGAACACAGGCTCCATGTTGCTTGGATTTCATTGCTAGCTGTGTGCCAGGCATGTGAGTGATGCTGGGCTGCTCAGCCTGGCACACAGCTCTGGCAGCATTCAGGAACAATGACCTGGCATAGGAATACCTGAAATGGGTGCACTTCCTCACTGGCATTCAAGAGGTTAATGTGTGGGGGACATGTTCTGTGGCACCGTTAATCCTCAGAGGCCATGGCACAGAAGAGGTTAATGCCCATGTGTTGGGGGGTTAACATGGGGTCTCAGCACTAGGGCCAAGGGCTGAGGAGAGGCAGCAGGGCTGCCTCTCAGTCCCTGCCCTGCTGCTCAGAGAGGAGCCAGAGCCTGAAAGCGCCTGAAATGGTCATGAGCGGGTGACAAGGCAGCGAGCCATGTAAAGGAATCCCTGCCTGCAGCTCCCAGCACTCCTGGCTGCTGGTCATGCCTGCTGCCCAGCCTGGGGCAGGAGTTCCTTCACACCCTCGGCAGCAATCATATCCTAGGGCTGTGCCTCACCCCGACACTCTCCTCCCTGCTACAGGCCGCTGGAAATGCCGTGAAGAGGGCATCAGACAATCTGGTGAAGGCAGCGCAGAAGGCAGCTGCCTTCCAGGACCATGATGAAACAGTGGTGGTGAAGGAGAAGATGGTCGGAGGAATTGCACAGGTGAGGAGTAAGGCTGCTCCAACAGGGCAGGAGCAGCTCTAGCTACCACCAAAACCTGTGTGTGCCAGTCTCAGAAGGATGTCCTACTATCCACCAGCACAGGTCATGTCTTGAGAGAGCCTCACAAAAATACTGTGAGTTCACCCATCCCACTGAGCACCAGATAAATAAGGGAGCCTCACTTTATCTTGCCACAAGAAGGAGTGGGTGATGGTGCATACTCCCGGGAGTGTAAAGCCCTGGCTTCTGCTTGGTGCAGAGCCCACAGTATCCCAGCATCTGTGACACATGGAAAATGTGGGTAGAGGGCGAGATCTACCTAGTGTGGAGTGCCACAGTCCCAGTGCTGGCTCCCTGCAGCTGAGACCCTCTACATAGCACGTGGGGCTGAACCCAGAAGCTGTGCTGTTCTGCTTAATGTCCAGAGTACCATGCTCCCACCCCAGGGACAAACAGCTCAGTGAGGCAGTGGCTGTGATGGGAGGGAAGCATCAGCCAAGAGAACCCGGATCTGGGGTTGACATTGCTGTGGCAGAGGCTCTGGCCATCCCTGTGGGAGGCAGTTGTGACCCCGGGGCTCTTTCCTGGCAGATTATCGCCGCCCAGGAGGAGATGCTGCGCAAGGAGCGGGAGCTGGAGGAGGCACGGAAGAAGCTGGCGATGATCCGGCAGCAGCAGTACAAGTTCCTGCCCTCGGAGCTGCGAGACGAGGAGCAGAACTGAGCCGCACGCCCTCCACTCACCGCACAGACTGCTGCCTGCCCACCTGCCCACTGCCTGCTCCTATTTAAGACGACCCGCCACAAGCGAAGGGCTGTCTGGGCTAGACCAGAGCTCTGCCCGCACCCAGAGCAACGGGACTGACTCAGCTGCCCCTCCAAGCCAGTGCCGCACCAGCAACTCCGCTTCGCTGCCCATCCCACCTTCCCATGCACACCCAAGGCACAATCAGAGCGCTCGGAGGGACTCGGTTGGGGTGGGAGCCGGGGCTGCACTGGCTCAGGGCTCACCCGCCAGCCCCGGGGTGCGGGCCCACAGAGCTCTCCACTGCAAGGGGATATTTACTTGTGCCTTCTTCCTTCCCTCTTGTGCCCCTTTTTTCTCTCTCCTCCACGCGGGATGGGGACAGGCGGGTGGTTTGCCCTCTCCTGTGCGATGGCATGCAGGGAGCAGCCACCCCTCACAGAGTTCTCGTGTGGAACTGCCTTTCACCTCCAATGCCTTATTGCTGGCTGAATCTTCCTCTACAGCTACCCCGGAAGGCCCTGAGTCCACCCCATGAGTATTTTCTTCAGCCCAGGCCCCTCTGGGGAGCAGCAATGCCTCCACTCAGGATGGGGGATGATGTGATGAGTTCACCCCCAGAGTTGTTTTTTGCCTTCCTGCAGGGCTTCCCTCCAACTTCGGCCCCAGCCAGCTCTGCCTTCCTCCTTCTTCCCAAGTGCCTGCATTGTTTTCCAAGATCTGCAGTATTTTTGTAACTTTTCCATTTCTCTAGTATTGAGCCTGCAGCTTTCAAAGTTCATTTATTTCCCTGCCAGCTTATGCCCTTCCCACTAACACCCAGCTCTCGCCGGGGTCCCGTAGCCCAGCATCCCACCCCTCCTCGGCTCTGGGACCCCCGTCCCTTCCCCTTTGCACTCGCTGAGGCTTCTCTCACTATTTTGATACTTTAAGCATCCTATATTAAAGATTGAAGGAAACCAGCTCCCCTCCAAGCCTCCGGGGTGGGGTGGGGGATGCCAGTGTCTCCTCAGAAGGACGCATTCATCAATAAAATCTGGTTTTCCTGCTTTCTTGCCAACTGGGTATCAACGGGCCTCTGCAGGAGACGGGGAGGGCAGGGGGGCCTGGGCGCCTTGCCTCCCGGCAAAGGGAGGGGGGAGTGTACCACGGGTGCTTATACAGCATGGAAAATATTTGAGGCACGTCCAGCCCCAAGCACCCGGCAGGCCGGACCCCCGCTGCCAGCCATGTGCTGGCCTCGCAGGTGCTGCCGAGGGGCCACCACTGCAGGAGGGGATCTTGGGGATTTTGTTTCTGGGGGATTTGGGCTTCAGGGAAGGCAGGAGGAGTATTTGTGTGTGAAGCTCAGCTCCTGGCCCCATTCCTCCTACCAGCCAAATATACTTATGGGTGGGGTTCAATAAGGGTGCAGGTGGGGGAATCTCCCACCCCATGGTCACTGGTGGCCCATCAGTGGAGAAGCAACAGTCTGGTGTGGTGTGGGTCTGGGAATGTGGCCGGAGCCTTCCCGGCTGCCAGCGTTGATCTCACGCCCCGAAATAGCCCCCCAGAGCCAACCTGTGCGGGCAGCAGCTGCCCCAGCGTGTCCCCACCTGTTCCCACCCTGTCACTCAGCAGGGATTTGGGGGGCCTAAGCAGTGGCAGGGCAGGCGCGGGTGATGTGGGGTGCAACAGGGACATTGCAGGGTGCAGCAGGGGCAGGTTGGCACGTGTCCTTTGCCTCTGGGGCTGTTCCCGGTAGCGTGAGCTACAACATCATCAGTGGCAAGGGCAGCATCCTGCAGTATTCCGGACAGAAACCCCCATCGCCTTGCAGTCACGTCCCTGGGGTTTTGGAGGGGCTGTTTCTCCTAAGACACTTACCCCTGGCCAGGCTCCAGGGTGGATTTGTGGCTCTCGCAGGCATCCCAGTCCTCCCAGCTGTCCCCTGACAATCTGCGCTGGCCTGACCCAGCACCAGGCTCTCACCCAGGCATCAGCTTGGACATGGGGTCCTTTGGAGTTTCCAGCAAGGACAGCGAGCGGGCACAGCATGGCAGCAGATCTGGCCTCATCCTGGCATCCTGGGGACAGGGGATGGGGCTTGGGTACAAGCAAGAGGTGGTGGGATAAACACCAGGGGAGGAACATGGGGGAATGATTAACCACTGCCCCTCAATCTCACATACTGATCAAAGGGTTATTTTGGCAGTGTCCTGGTTTAGAACAAATTTGGGAGGAAACCTCTGAATGAGGTCCTTCTAGGAAAAAAAATTGAGAGAAGTGGGAAAAAAGAAACCTGTTTATTCAACAGGCAACACACTTCCCAGCAGAAAAATGAACAATATCAAACAGCAAAACCTTTTGCCGTTCCCAAGAGATGACAGATTTAGAAGAGTTTTTTCCGTGGCTGCCCGGCTCACTCAGTCTGTTCTCAGTCCCTCCTGTGCTGGGGAATGCCGCGGCTCAGGCCAGGCCTGGTGAGCCACAGGTGTGAGCTCCTGGGGCTCTTCTGGGTTTTCAGTCCAGAGCAGGTTTAAACAGTTCCAGGAAAACAGAAAAAGGGAAAAAAACAATCCAGGGGGCTTCTCTGCCTCAGCTAGCCAGAAAACTAACCAAGAGCAAAGGAGAGCTCTCTCTCTCCCTGTCCACCGCAGACAACACAGTCCGAGAGCAGGAATGTGGGGGAGCCAGTGCAGTCTCTGATAACAAACTCTGCACTTCTTCTTCCCCCCCTTCTCTCCTGGAACCAGTCTTAAAGCTGCAGAATTTAATATTCAACACCAACAGAACAGACGACTTGGGGATATAGGCATCATACAGTCACCCCAAGACAGGCAGGCAGGTTCAGGAAAGCACATACAGAGGTTTGAAACTGGGATGACACAGCCATAAGGTGCCAGGCCTCTGCAGGGATCCAAATTCAGCTAAGTTGGAGGTTAGTGGGCAAACCATGTCCCAGCTTCTTGGGGAGTCCAGGGATGGGGCTGCAGCACAGATTGCACCTGGAAAGGTCTCATTAGTTGTCAGGACAAGCCTTTTCTTGAAAGTAAGGTCTGACCCTAGTGTGAAATATGGAGGGGATTGCCATCCTTGCTTGGAGGCCTGAGCCCATGACAAGCCCAGTCATAGGGCAGCAATGAGAAGGATGTGCACCCACACCTCTCTGCACCCCCATTGTCCCACAGGTTACAACAGAGGACGGGCTTAAGGGCAGAGTCATGGACCTTGGCTCCCCGATGATTCCAGGAGTGTCCATCAGACGTGGCTATGACACCTAGAGCAAAGGTGGGGGGAGGAGGGCAGACAGGGACAGAGAGGGACAACAGCATCCTTTGGGGGCACGTGTGAGGGCTGCCCTGGCTCCAGGGCAATTTCCTTGCTGCTTGCACCATGCCCATCATCATCTTTGCCCCGTGCACTGAGCACATGAAGTTGCTCCAGGCTGAAACATCTCGCAGAAAAACAATTATTCTCTTCCAGGAATGATGGGAGATGAATCTTCCTCCTCCCCTCAGAAGCCACACGCTGGCAGTTACAGACTCTCCTTGTCCAAATATGTGCCTAATTCATCAGTACTAATAGCTGTTCTCCAGAGTCTAGCATGGCCCTTCTGCTTTCCCCGTGGAGCCAGCAGCCCGTTGGTCCTTGACTGTTCCCACCCTTCCTATACCCTCCACTATCCAGGCCTGACACTTTCTCCTGATACCATCCTAAAAGACACTTTCTCCAGCTATCAAAAACTTTCTGTTCCTCTTTTCTTGGAGCACTAGTGCCGAGAAGTTGCATCAAGCAAGGGCTGCCTGCACCCCTCCTGTCCCCATCCCAGCCTTCCACACGTGCCACACAGCTCCCACGGCCCCTCTGCCAGCTCCTTCCAGCCCCCCCCGTCCCACAGCCCACCCTGCAGCTGGGAATGTGCCAGAAGCATTTACGATCGTTATTAAAGTACAGGTTATTTTTGGAGGAGCTGGGATTTGAAGGGTTTGCATTTTTTTGCCTGTGGAATACAGTTTATTTAGAGCAGAAAGATGAAGAGGGGCAGTGAGCTGCCTGTACACCCTGTGTCACTCTAAAATGCCACTCTGTGGGCTGTGCATGTGCCAGGTGTCGTTGTGGGTGCCAGGGACAGTGGCACCAAGGTGCAAGACAGAAGAAAGGTAGGTGCCAAGGAGTCTGCACAGAGCTCTGGCCCTCCTGTCCCATCAGTAGCTCGATGGGAAAGTCAGGGGCTCTGCTCACTCCCCTCCTGGGGGTTTTTCCCCATGTGGGCAATGCCAGCCAAACATGTCCCTCAGTGCAATCACAGCCTGAGTGTGTCCCCTACACTTCAGTGCCAGCACACTGGTGTTCCTAAGTGCCATGCCAGCCCTTGAGGTGTCCCCAAGCCAGTGCCAGCAAGAAGGGTCCCTCAGGCCCCAGGGTCCTGTGATAGGTGCATGTGGTGTACCTAGGGCACTAGCATGAGCTCTAATTGGAGCCACTGCCACCAGGGTACCCGTCCTCAGTGCCCCAGGATGTCCTTTGCCCCGTGACACTGGGGTACCCCTAGCACAGTGCTACGGAGTGTCCCTCCTCCAGTGCCACAGGGGTACCACTACAGCGTTGCCCCGGGGTGTCCATCACCCAGTGCCACCAGGGTACCCATAGCACAGTGTCTCGGGGCGTCCCTCGCTCGGTACCCCCGGATTGTCCCTAGCGCAGTGACCTGGGGTGTCCCCCGCCCTGTGCCCCGGTGGGTGCCGGGCGCCAGGGCTGTGGCGATGCCCGCGGGGGGCCGCCCCCCCGTCCCGCTCGGTGCGAGGGCCGGTGGCGAGCCAGTCCGTAAAAGGTGCTGGCGGGCGGCGGGGGAGGTACTGGGGCAGCTCCCGCCCGGCACAGCCCCTCCCCAGCTTTTAGGCAGCTCGGCGGGGCGGGGAACGCAGTGCCGGTGCTCCCTCCGCTCCCGGTGCTCCCGCTGCTCCCGGTGCTCCGCGTCCCTCTGCGTCTCGCTGCTGCCCCGCGCCTCGCCGCCGACACACCGCCACCATGGAGGCCATCAAGAAGAAGATGCAGATGCTGAAATTGGACAAGGAGAATGCCATCGACCGCGCCGAGCAAGCGGAGGCTGACAAGAAGCAGGCGGAGGATCGCTGCAAGCAGGTGGGTGTCCCACGGGCTTCCCTGGCATTACCTGGGTACCCTCCACTCCAGGGGTGTCCAGCCTCAGGACCCTGTTCAGCCCGGGGACCCTCCATCCTAGGGTTGTCCAGTCTTGGAAACGCCATCCCGCTGGGTGCCCAGCCCTGGGGATTCCATCCCACTGATCGTCCTGGGGACACTTCACTCTATAGGATCACACAATCCCCATATTGATCTGCCCACACTGTTTGTCCAGCTCGGAGTCCCCTGTCCTAATCGTGTCGTGGCCCAAGAACCTTACCCCACTGGGTGTCCTGCTTGTGGATGCCAGCTGTAGACATTGACAGCCCTTGAGACTTTACCTCTCCGTGTTCCCAGGGACATCACCCCATGTGGATCTGTCCCCAGGAACCAACACTTCAGTCTCTTTTCCTTGACCCCTTATGCTGGTACCCCTAAACATGTCTTATCTCAGTGGCACACCCCAGTTTCACCTCCCAATTCCTGTGACAGGGAGAACCCTGGGGACTGTGTATTCCCATCACAGCCACAAAGAGATAGGAACACAGATTGGTGTCCCGCAGAGCTGTACCCCCAAGTCAGGAGCTCCCCAGTCCCCTATACAGGGAAGGCGACCTCCACCCCCTTACCTCCATCAGGCTCAGGGATGATGGGGGCCCCGGGGGCTGTTCTACACCAAGAGCCCCTCAAGGACCTGTAGACCCAAAGTTGTCAGAGGACATGCCCATGTTTTCTTGCTGTGCTCCCCGAAGGCAAAGTGTCCCCAGGAGGAGAATGGGAGGACAGATCTGCTTCCAGCCTTGCTGACACCACCATCTCCCCTGACCCTCACATTTTGTCCTTTCCCCAGCTGGAAGAGGAACAGCAGGGCCTGCAGAAGAAGCTGAAGGGCACTGAGGATGAGGTGGAGAAGTATTCTGAGTCTGTCAAGGAGGCTCAGGAGAAGCTGGAGCAGGCAGAGAAGAAAGCTACAGATGTAAGTAGGCATGCCAGCAGCTCCTCCCCTGCACAGGCTGTGGACCTCGGGGGGGCTAAAGGAAGAGGGGGCCCTTATATGGAAAGCGTCCGAGGGGAAGACTGTCAGGATCCCATTCCTTCGATGTTGACACTGAACTGGGCTGATGGGTCCTGTGTGGGATGCGGGGCCCAGGCCAGCTGTGGTGAGCAGTATTCATTGCTGGTCCTGTCTTGAGCTTTGTGGGTAGCCTACAGCCTGGCTCCCCAGAGCTTACAGGGATCCCAGTGTCCTAAGATGTGCCACAAGTCCCCAGGCACGCACCTCCTCAATGCTTGCAGGAAAGCTGTGGTGCTTGCTAAACTGTGGCAGAGCAGATAAACGGAAAAAATCTCTTGCTATGGTTAGCTGCTGAGTGCTGGCTGCAAGGAAGAATGGCTTGGGGTGTGTGGAGGGGGATTTGGGTGGATTTGGGGTCCAGTGCACTACTTCATACCCTGAGAAGGGCGAGGCCAGGAAGAGTTTTATTTAGTGCCATGACTGATGTTTCTCCTGGGAAATCGATCCCTCTGGGGAGATGTTAGGAAGGTGTTGAAATTGGCTTGTGCCTGGCCAGGATGAAGGGTGGAACAGCTGTGTGCGGCCATGGGGCCGCTTGGGAATGGGGTATAACGACCTGTGGTGCCACACAGGGTATTTGACACCCTATAAATAAATCCTCCTTTTGATAGCCAGCCCCTCTTTGATGAAAACCAACCCTGGAAATTGGAGGAGAAGCTAAAGGAGAGCCGTCTGGAACACAGCCAGCAGGGCATGGCTAGGCTTTTCAGGATTGAGAACAAAAAATTCAATCCCAGCTGGTTTATGGAGCTAAATGAGGGAGATGCGTCAAATCTCTGAGGCTGCCGCCAAGGACAGGGGTGAGCGGACAAGGACGAGCAATGGCAACACCAGTCCTGTGGCAGCCCAGAGCCCCTGGGCAGCAGCCAGAGGTCTCCTCAGACCTCTTCGCTGATCCTACAGATGACTCTCCTTTAAAACATTGAGAATCCTCTGGAAGGGCACATTCAACCTGGCAGGGGGCAGGCATGTCAAGCTGGGCAAGGTGGTTGCTGTGTGCAGTGGGGCTCAGGCCGATCTAATTTGTTCTGTGCTGGTATGAGATAGGGCAAACTCAATTGAGAGTGGCTGAGAGTGGATATGACGTTCACAGTGCAGGGATCAGAGGAAAGGGCAAACTGTGTGTCCTGGTTTAGGGCAAATTTGGGAGGAAACTTTTGAATGGGGTCTCTCTAGGAAACAGATTCAAGCAGTCCCTCCCTTAACTGGTTCGAGGAAATATTTTCTTGGAGAGAAATGGAAAAAAACCTGTTTATTTAACAGGTAAAGCACTTACCAGCACAAAAAATGAACAGCAAAACTTCGCTCTGAAGAGATGAAAATGCAGAAGAGTCCCTTTCATGGATTACAGCCCAGCTCACTCAGTCTGTTCTCAGTCCCTCTGGCACTGGAAAATGTCACAGCCCAGGCCAGGCCTGGTGAGCCACAGGTGTAAGCTCCTGGTACGCCCTTGGGTTTTCAGTTCAGAGCAGGTTCGAACAATTTTAAGAAAAAGGGGGAAAAAAAGAACAACCGCAGTTTAGGGAGCTTCTTTGCCTCAGATAGCCAGATAAACTAACTGAAAGTAAAGGAGAGCTCTCTCCTGCTGTCGACTGCAGACGACACAATCAGTGTGAAGGATGCGGGGGAGCTAGTGCAGTCTGTGATAACAAACTCAGCGCCTATTGCCTCCTCCTTGACTCCTGGACCCAGTCTTAAAGCTGCAGAACTCAATATTTAACCCCAACAGAACAGATGATTTGGGATATACAAGCATTATAAAGTCACTCTAAGATACTGTGGTACTGGGCAAATGTCATCTGTGGGGTGTGGAGGAGTCTGCTGCTGCCAGTGGGCTGTGCAATGCCATCCTGGGCAGAGAGGGTGTTTCCCTGCTCTTGGTCCACAGCAGTTTGGCAAATCTGTGGGCTTCATCATGGACAGTCCCACTCCAGAAGATATACCAGAAGAGAGCCACCAGGGAAGGGCCGGAGCAGGAGCCATGGTGAAGGAGAAATGTCAGGCTGAGGTTGGCTGCAGCAGGGCTAGGGCTCCATCACCAGCACAGCCCTCCCTGGACGGGCTGCACCATGTGTTGGGTTCTGGAGTCACCCCTTCACACCAGGAACCTGAATATGCTGCCAGCTCTAAGTGTCAGTGCTGGTGTCACCTCCTCCCTGGTGTGAGGTGCAGCACAGCTCCTGCTTCCAGCAGAGGAAGCGTTGGGTGGACCTCCAGAGAGCACCCACCCCAGGCACCCCCCTGTCCTTCCTGGCTGCCAGGACAGTGGGTGCCTGTGAGCACAGAGTGTCCTAATTCCTCAGATGGCTCAGGCTCATACCAGTGATCCAGGCAGCCTCCTGCTCTTGGCAAAAATGTCAATGCCTTAAAAGAATAAGCACTCACCTCGGTATGGCCCTGCCCTGCTGCTGGCACTGGATGGTGGGCACGAAGGCCATGGGGACTGAACTAAACAGTGCAAATACTTTGCCCCAGGCACTTGGAGAGGTGTCAGATAGTGTATGGAGCAGGGAATGCCTAACTCTTGATCAGGCAGCTCTGCAAAGCTTCCCAGCAGCTCTGCAAGCCCACCGTGGTCCTAGAACCGCTTGCCCCCAGGAGGGATAGCCCAAGGTGCCCAGGTCAGGATGGGCAAGGGCTTCTGGAAACGGTGCAGCTGGGAGAGCAGATTTAGGCCAGAACAGACCTCTCCATCACCCCACATCCCCAGCATTGGCCTGTCCCCAGCCACCCCGGAGGGGCCTTAGGGAAATTCTGCCACTCCCAGGCCATGATCCCAAAAGCTTCAGTAGTGTTCCCGCCCCAACTGCTTTCCCCAGGCAAGACTTTGCTCTTATTTGGTGATTCCCTGAGCTGGTGGGAGGGAACTGGACTCTGCTGGGAAGTGACTGCATCTCGGGGTGGGGCCACAGCAGGAGGCATCTAGCCTGGCTGCTGGGGGAACAGGGTGGCTGCCCCACAACCTGTCCCCCTTCTGCCTGCAGCTGGTTCATCCCTGCCCCACTGCTGCCAGGAACCCTTGTTTCTGCTCTGGGCCCCCTTGTCCTGGTTTGTGCATTACTGACATCCAGGCCTCCGACTGGAAAGGGGTAGTACCAGCTGGGCCCAAGGCCAAGCCCAAGGCTGTGTGGCTCCCAGGAGACCCACAGTACCGCCTCTTCCACTGCCTCTTGGCAAGGGGACATGGATCTCCAGGGTGCAGATAGCAGTGTGGCTGAGTCACCCCCAGGACCCCTGGCCCTGGAGCTGACACCAGCTGGTGAGGTCAGCCTGGGAAATGGCATTCCTGGAGGCAGGTGTGAAGTGCAGCCAGGGAGCTGTCAGTACATCTTAAGGGAGGATTGAGTGCCAGCAGCTCCAGCTTCTTCTGATGGATCAAGACATGTGCCCTAGCCAGGACAGAGAGCCAGGAACTGGAGGTTTGACCTCCCCCATAGGGCACAGTCCCCAGGGCAGGAGGTGCCAGGGTCTCCGTGAGTCTGTGTAGGGTTGCAGGACAGGTCCTCGCATTGGGGAGCAGATACCAAAGGACTGAATGTGATGGATGCTGGGCACCTGGCTGCAGCCCACATACCCCTGGAGGACGCCCAGGAACAGGCTCTGCTCATGCCTCTTGCTGACTTCCATAAGGAAAAAACCCACAACCCTCCTTAGTTCTGCAGCAATGGCTGGGGAGGGCAGCACTTGGGGGCCATGCATGGGTACGTTGCTCCTATGGAGGCTCACATAGGACAGACTCCAGCATTCACAGGCTCTCTGGACTGCTGGAAATGTCTGTTTCCCTGGAGTACTCTCCATTGCTCTGAGGGATATCAGTGTGACTGTACACCCCTGCCTGGGGGGGCAGCATGCCTCCCGGCCATGAAGAGAAGTGTGTGCCCTGACTCGGGGCCACTGTGTGTCCTATCTGGTGTATCACGTACCCTTTCAGTGGGGACCATGCATCTGCCTGCGACCATGTGTGCTGACCCGGGGTGGGGGGACAATGTGCCCTGCCCAGAAGCAACTGGGCATCTTGCTTTGGCGGGGATGTAGAGACAGTGACCAAAACCTGTGGAGGACCACGCACCCTGCCCGGGGGCACCCTCTGTCCTGTTTGGGATGAGGGGCACTGTGCATCCCTCCCGGCATGGGAACTCTCTCCTGCCGTGGGTGAGCACCGCATGCCTAGCCCGGGGGAGCGGCGGTGCAGGTCGGTCGGAGGCAGCAGTAGCAGGAGCAGCAGGAGCAGCAGCAGGAGGAGGAGGAGGAGGAGGAGCAGGAAGGGATGGAGGCAGGGCGGGCGGCGGGAGCGGCCGCTGCCTGAGCGCTTCCTGCCCGAGCCGGGCGGATCCCACAAAGGGCTCGGCGGTGTGGCCTCCCCGCCGGCAGCCCCCGCCATGGCCAGCGCCAGCTCCATCGATGCCGTCAAGAAGAAGATCCAAAGCCTGCAGCAGGTGGCCGACGAGGCTGAGGAGCGCGCCGAGCACCTGCAGCGGGAGGCCGATGCCGAGCGGCAGGCCCGGGAGCGGGTAAGGGCCGCTGGGATGGGAAGAGGAGGGCGGGGGGCACCCCGGCAGCTCCTCGGGATGCCCCGCCAGCTCTGGCCCCGCTGCCGGCATCCCTTCCGGCAGGCCGGCCCCGGGCCCCCTGAGCCCCGGTAGCCGGGCTGGCTGCTCCCGGGGCGCAGGAGGCCGGCGGGTCCCCCGGGGAGCCGAGGAGAGCTGCCACCCAGCTGGCGAGAGCCCCGGGGCAGGGAGCTCGGGGTAGTCCCTGCCTGCGGGCAGCCTTCGCCAGCCGCCTCCCTCCTCTGTGGGTCTGGCGAGAGAAGATGCTGCGTGCAGCGGGGCTCCCCAGGGCTTCCCGGCTGGCCGGGCGCTGGGAGCGGGCAGTGGCCAGCCCTGCCTTGCGATCGGGTGCCTCCTGGGAAAGGATCCTTTCCCTCGGAGGCTGGCGTGCACAGCTCAGCATCCCACGCCCAGGCTCTTGTCTGGCTTCCAGCGGACTCTGCCGTTCGGGCCGCAGAGCTTTAGCTCTGTCCCTTCGTGGGGAAGAGCCACCCCTTCACACTGCCTCAGGACAAAATTTCCATTTTGGCAGCGGGGTGGCATGCCCAAACTGCAGCTTTTTACTGATTTGTCTTTTAAGTTGTTGGAGCTTTCTGTTGTCTTCCTTTCTTTCTGTTTCCTATGCCCACTCATTCAACATTCTCACCATATCAGGAGCGGCAGAGCTGGGTGCGGTGCCCGGCTTGTTGTCACTCGGGCTGTGTGCGAAGGAAATGGCCCCTTCCTGCAGCCTCAGATCGGGTTCCCCGGTCACTGGGAGCTGCCGGGACAGCTCATGTTCCCAAGTGTCCATCCGGGCAGTTCTGACCCACTTTGGGCGTGATTCCCTGGGAAAAAAAACATGTACCGGTGCGGTGAGGCTGGTGCCGCAGGCAGCGCGTTGCCCTGTGGGCGCCAGCTCCAGTTCCCCATTGGATGGTTTGGCAAGGGACAAGGTGTCTGTAGAAAGGGTGATCCTGGGGCGGAGGCGGCTGTGGGGCTGGCAGCTATAGGGCTGGCAGCCATCTCTAAGAGGCGCCAGCTCCACCCTGTCAACTCCCAACAGGGGATTGCGGGTGCTCTGTGGGGCCATACGGGGTGACAGCCCCTCGCTGCTCCCATAGTCCCCGTGCTTGGCTAGCTATCCCTGGGGCATTCCCAGTGCTGGAGCATGAGATGCTGGATGTGCCCAGGCGTTGCAGCCAGCTAGTCCTGCTGCAGCCTGTGAATAAGCAGGAGCCGCTATCTCCTGGGTTGGTGCACGGAGCTGCTCCCCACGGTGAGGTCTTATTGCCACCCATCCCTTGATATTCGGGGGGTTGTCTTCCTTGCACCCCCCTAGTGGGAAGCGGGGATGAGAGCTGCTGAGGCAGCATTTCCTGACTGTGGCTATGGAGCAGGCCTTTACCAAATGGAAAAGAGTGCAAGGCCAGGCGTCAACAGGCTGGCGGAGGGCCAGGGCCACTGCTCCTGGCCAGCCCCAGCTCCCAGCCCTGTGCGTGGGGAGCCTGGGAAAGGGAGGGCTCTGGTCCTGCCAGCTTCATCTCGGCCAGGCGCCAGCCTGCCGAGGGCGACTCGCTCCACTGCCCCCGGCACTGTGCTGTACATCAGCTGGGGGGGCTCCGTGCTTGGCTTCACGCTGCCCTGTTGCACAGGGCCCTGGGGTTCCTGCAGGAGAAGCTCCCGGCTCACTCCACCGCCTCTGTAAACAGGAAATCCACAAGCAGCTCCGATCTCCTTTTCGGGAGTGAAACCGCACAGGGCATTCCTCCCCCTTTACTCACTGCTCTGCAAACCCCAAATACCATCCCTGTGACGGCACGGCTGCTATGGCCACCCTGCCCCAGCGAACGTGCCCTGTCCCCCTCCAGGGAGGTGTAAGGACATAGTGGGGCTGCACATGCTAAGCTGGTGCTGCAAGACTGGGAGAAGCCAGCATCAAACAACCACTAGGGATGGAGATAACCCTATAGAAAGGCGAGGGAATGCATGGTCAGGCATGCCATTCCAGTTAACATGGGCTTGTTGCAGATTGCCAACGGGCATTCTGGGTGGTAAATAGGAGTAAGCATTGAAAATGCTTTTTCCAATATCTGTATTTGATAGGGGGTGACTGAGGGATTTCTGTTTCCCTAGGCTGAGGCTGAAGTGGCTTCCCTCAACCGCCGTATCCAGCTGGTAGAGGAGGAGCTGGACCGTGCCCAGGAGCGTCTGGCCACTGCCCTGCAGAAGCTGGAGGAAGCTGAGAAGGCAGCTGATGAGAGCGAGAGGTGGGGTGGAAAGGGACAGTGAGAGTGGTATCAGGTCACTGCTGATTGCAGACAGCCCCCTTAGTGGGGTCCCTCTGAGATGACCTTATTGGGGTTTCTGTTGGTTTTCCTGCAGATTTCAAAGGGAGAGAGCAAAGCCACAATGTAAAGATGTCCTTCACATACAGACACTCATATCCAGAACACACATAAACTCCTGAAAAATTTTATCTGGTATTTATAAAAGCAGCAGACTGTAACCAAAACCAGAGGAAGATATGAGCATGTTTTATGCCCCAGAGCAGCTCTCTGTGCTCAGAGACACAATAACAGCTCAAGAAACAAGCTTTGTTTCTGGTAACTAAGGTCAGATTTCAGGGCAAGACAGCCTCATTCAAGAAGTGTTCTTCAAGATGTATGTTGCCCCATCCTCATGGCAAGCAGGTTTCCTAGACTGGAGCTGTGCAGGCAAGGGCACTCACGTTGTATAGGAGTGCCCAGACGTGTCACAGCATTCTTGGCAGTTAGGTGAGGAACCTTGCCTCCATTGGCAAAGATAAGTTTGAGGAGCAGCATCTGAGTGAGAGGAGAAGAGTCTGCAGGAGTCTGCTGTGGGACTCTGTTTGTGAGCATCACCTCGAATGAGAGAGGCTTTGCCACAGGATATTTTCCAGCATTTCCTAAGGCTGCCAGCCTGTCAGGCTGTGGAGGTTGTGGCTGGCTCATCTTAGACTGCACACCTTTTCCCCCCCAAACGTAGGTTCAGGACCTGCCTCTGAGGGGCATCATAACCATACCTCATTCTGGAACATAGCCTTGGGGCCAGCTCCACTGTAATTCTGCACAGGAGCGTTTTCGGGGTTCTGGTGGTGTGATCCTACTGTGTGTCATCCTCCCCGGGCAATGTCCCGTTTCTCTGAAGCTAGAGAGTGGTATGGTTAGGGTACAGGATGTGCAGATGGGCAGGCAGGATGTGCAGATGACACCTTGACCCACAACAGTAACATCTCCTGGCATGGTCTCTCCTCAGAGGCATGAAGGTCATCGAAAACAGGGCCATGAAAGATGAAGAGAAGATGGAACTCCAGGAAATGCAGCTGAAGGAGGCAAAGCACATAGCCGAGGAGGCTGACCGCAAATATGAGGAGGTGTGTGCCCCATTCCCCACTCCTGACACCTTGGCAGCACCCAGAGCCATCTCTTCATAGCCCTGTGCCCCCATCTGGGGCAAGCACAGGGCTAACGTGGGTCACTTGCTGCTGTCAACAGGTTGCCCGCAAGCTGGTCGTCCTTGAGGGAGAGCTGGAGCGCTCAGAGGAGAGGGCAGAAGTGGCGGAGAGGTGAGCAGGGCTCCTGGTGGGCAGCGTGCAGGGATCCCACACAGCCCTTGTCCCAAATCCCTGGCGGACATGGGGATGGGGATGTCCGTCCCTGGAAGCAGCAGGGTCTGTCATTGGGGTGGTCTTCGGGATCACAGGCTGGGGGTAGGGGTGTGCCAACCCACCAGCATCACATCCTTGACCCTGTTCTCTGCTGTCCCCATCCCGGGGTGCCCATCTTCTGCCCCAGCCGAGTGAGACAGTTGGAAGAAGAGCTGCGGACCATGGACCAGTCTCTCAAATCCCTCATTGCCTCAGAGGAAGAGGTACTGGGGCAGGGGCGCGGGGCGATGTGCAGCAGCCCCCTCTCTCTGTTGCTGTCTCTCAAACCATGCGAGCCACCTCTCTCCTTTCTGCACCACTGCCTCCACCACCGGCCTCCCCTCGCCTCCCTTTCCAGCAGGTGCAGGCCGGTCACGCTCCTCCATCCCTCCATCCTGCTTCTCTTGGCGGGGCCAGCAAGAGCTTGGCTGGTGGTGATGCATAAGGTATCCGTACAAGGAAGCACAAGGAATGGATGAACAGATGCGTCCCGGCAGCTCCTACTTGCAGTGGCTCTGCTCCTGGTCCACCTGCACTGAGTTTTCTCCTCTCTCAACTTGTTTTCTCTCTTTCTTTCCTGCTTCCCCATGCCTGTTCTTTCTGCTCCTGCCTCTCTCCTGCCCTCTGGCCCCACTCCCCCCTTCCTGCCGGCCCTGCTTTGGATGTAGTAAATGTGGTGACCTAGAGGAGGAGCTGAAAATTGTCACCAACAACTTGAAGTCCCTGGAGGCCCAGGCTGACAAGGTAGGACCCAGTGAGGCTGCTGGAGTTGGGAAGAATGCATGCGGTCTGGGAATGCTGTGGTCTCCTGCTGGGGTGAAGGACAGCTGGAGGTGTGCCTTGGGACTCACAGGTGCTTGTCTCTGTCTCTGCAGTATTCCACCAAGGAGGATAAGTACGAGGAGGAAATCAAGCTTCTAGGGGAAAAGCTGAAGGAGGTAAGGGGTGTAGGGCCACCACTGAATCAGTGCAGGAATGAGCTTGCCATCCTGAATGGGTTTTGACCCCATGAGGCCTGTGTCCTCTCATGGTTTCCTAAATTGCAGCATAGCAGGTACCTGGGTCTGGGATGACCTTAGTCTGTTCTGGTTTAGGGTGTGAGGCTCCATGGAGCTTTAGTCACTTTTTGTCCCTTGCCTTTCCCATGCGAGGGCTTCTGGAGAAGGGTATCAGAGATGCAAATGGGGCAGATTTGGAATGCAGTGCAGGCTGCACCACCCCTTGTGTCCTGCAGCTCACCCTTTCCTCACTCTGTTTCCCACAGGCTGAGACCCGGGCGGAGTTTGCAGAGAGGTCTGTGGCGAAGCTGGAGAAAACCATTGATGACCTAGAAGGTAAAATGTACCCACCAGCCCCATGTCCCTCTTTCCTGGGGCAGCACTGGACACACCATGCCTCTGGTGGGGCTGGACAATGCTTGGCCAGAGGGAGGGGATGGGCAAGAGTTCTGGGACTGGAAAGGCTGGATGCTGCGGCATCTGGTGCAGGAGCACAGAGCTCTTGGGGTCTGGGCCTTGCCCTTGGATGGGGAATAGGGTCATATTCATGCTGCCTGTGCCTGCACATCCTTGCTACCCTCAGCCCACTGCTCACAGCCACTCTCTCTCTCCACGTTGTGTCCTCCACTCTATTCCACCATCTGCTCCCTGTCTGCCCTCACCTGCAGATGAAGTGTATGCGCAGAAGATGAAGTACAAAGCCATCAGTGAGGAGCTGGACAATGCACTTAACGACATCACCTCCCTCTGAGCCCCACGCTGGGCACCAGCACTGCACCCACTCCCTGCCTGTCTCTCCTCTCCCCAGCTCGGCTGTTTGCCTGCCTGGCCATCCCACCTCCCTCCATACCCTCTCTGTCCTCCTCTGTCCTACCTAGCCTGTGCCTGTCCATCAGCTCCTTTGGGACAGGAGCTGACCTGGGGTGTTCCCGCTTTACCCCTCTTTGGGGAGACAAGATGTAGGTGCTTAGAGCTGTTTGTTCAGGGCAGGAGAGCAGCCCTACATACTGACTGGACAGTGTAGTTGTAGGCCCATGCCACAGCATTGCCCTGGGGATTAGGACTGTGCCCAGAAGCCCTTTGTTCCAGCAGCTCCCTCCTTGGCTCCCCAGCAGCAGAAGCACTGGGGACCCTGCAGCTCCGGGGCTGGGGGGCCATTCCCCGCCCCCCTCCCCCCCCCCCCCCCCCCCCCCCCCCCCCCCATATACTTCCAGCAAAGTCCCCGGGTGCTGCTTGCTGGCCCCAGCATGGGGATGACCTGCACTGGGGAAGCGGCACCTCCACTGCCAAAGCTCAGGTCTGGGGGATAGAGGGTTGGATCCAACTGTGCAGACACCTTGTTCCCCGGCAGGCAGGCAACCCCTACTCCTCCCTCGCCCTTCTGTCCTTTGCACATTGCTCTTCAGTTTGCATCTCATGACTTTTCTTTTGTGTTCTGTCCTCTGGGTTAATGAGTTGATATCAATAAAAATTTAACATTGGTTTCTCCTTTGTTCTCTTCATGCCACTCTATCCCTCATCTCCTGCCTGTCTCATGTGGATACTGTCAGCAGCGTGATAGGAGGTGGTTGCAGGCAGCTCACAGCCACGGGCTCCCCAGGCTGACCATGGCTGAGACCCAAGAGGCGCTGCCAGGCTGAGCGGGATGGGGCCAGTATGCTAACCCCAGCCACCCTCATCTCATGCCATCTTCTCCATGAGTCCTTTGGCGTAAAATGCCAGGGTTAAACCTGGTTCTGTCCATTCCCTGTCTCCACTCCCAGACATTNCTGCCAGGCTGAGCGGGATGGGGCCAGTATGCTATACACAGCTTTCCTCATCTCATGCCATCTTCTCCATGAGTCCTTTGGCGTAAAATGCCAGGGTTAAACCTGGTTCTGTCCATTCCCTGTCTCCACTCCCAGACATTGCCTACAAGCAGCAATCTCAGCCCTCTCATAGCTCCTGTATCACCTTCCCTTGGTGAAGAGGCTGGTGCTACCCTTCAGCAGTGATCTCTTGTGATCCCTAAATTAGTCCTGATCCGCCTTCTCCTTCCTCTCTACTCTACCATGTCCCAGACCCCAGTTTCCAAATTGATGGACCTACAGCTTTGTCCCTGCACCAAGACTGGCTGCCTCCTGCCAGTCCACCTGTATCCCACCACTGGTTGGGGGGTTTGTGGTGTTTCCAGCGAAGGCTTTCAGAAATGCTGTCTCTTTTCACTAACTCACTTTTTTCTCTCTCTTTTCTGTGCTGCGTTGATGTCTCCATTTTCTCTAGAGCGCTCTCAGCAGGAAGCCGAGAAAAACCGCGTTCTCACTAACGAGCTGCGGGTCATCCTTACTGAACTTAACAACTGAGCTGCCCAGAGCTCCTGGCCCCAGCCCATCCTCCCTGCCCCATTTTGGCCAGGTTGGCTCCAGTCTGGGAGCCCTTCCCCACTGGGGCAAGGCAGGGTGTGAAGCCATGCCTTACCCTCATAGGGATAACTACCCTGCTTGGGCAGGACAGGAAACCCCTCTGGAGCTGATCAGTTTTTTGTGGGAGAGATATGAAGGTTTTTTTTGATGTCCCGGGATGCCCACGTAGTGATGGCTGTCGTCTGGCATCATCCTAGCTCTGCTGGGGAGGGATGCAGTGGTTTGTATTGCTGCCTTCCTCCTCCCCTTGTCCCAGGAGTCACTGGGCAGCTTCTTCCTCCTCACTCTGGTCACCCCAAAATGTGCAGGGAGGATCCCCTTAGAAGGAGGTCCTTGGAGGGTGCTGGGAAGGCTGGGAAACGAGCTGGGGATCCAGCAGCACCTGCTGCCCCGAACTTGGGACAGGGAAAAGGCTAGCAGGGCACACTGGGAGATGGGGCTGGGTGGACAACAGTCTTGTTCCATCTCCATCTCTGCGGGAAGCAGGATGACATTTGGAAGTGAACACCAGAGGGAGGCTGCCTTGGCAGCTGGCTGCCTGGCAGAGCTTATTCTTGTAGCCTTGCTAGCTCTGCTCCTTATCTCTCTCTCTTGTCCTCTGCCCACTCTCCTGGGCTGTTAATGGGCTGATTTCTCACTCTTTTTCTTCACGGAGCACTGCTGGGTCATGCAGCAGGCATTGGTTCTCCGCTTCTGCTGGCCAAGGGTTTGTGCACGTGCCCACAGCTGGCCAGTGATGATGCCCCAGTGTCTGGCCAAATAATGGTACTCGCCAGCAGCACCTGTGCTGCAGAGTGCTCAGCCATGGGCAACGGGGCACCCTGGGAAGATGGAAATGCTGAAGAGTGGTAACTGCCTGCCCCAGTGACCAGCCTGACTGGCCTGGCTTCCCTGGCAGATCCAGAGTGGCTGGACTCATCCCCACTCAGAAATAGGGCTACCTATGTGGACTATGCTCCGCAGAGGGTGCCCCGTTTGACTGGAGGCCATTGCTGTACTGAAATGTCCATCTGTGTGTGTGTGTCTCTGTTTGGTGTGGTGTGTGTGGGTCTTGCTGCACCTGGGTACATTTGGGTTGTGTCTGTGTGCGTGGCTGGGTGTGCCTTGTATTCACAGAGAGCCTGGCCAGTGCCAAAGAGGAGAACGTGGGGATACACCAGGTCCTGGACCAGACCTTACTGGAGCTGAACAACCTCTGAGCTGCCCTCGCAAGCCCCTATCCCTTTTCCCTACCCAACACATGCACCCCACTGGCATGCTCAGGATGTCGTCATCAGCTGAACTGCATCTTGGCCAAATCCACACCTCCATTGAGAAGGGAAGCTCAGCAGCCTTGCACTGTTGCTCAAGGGGATCTTGTTTGTGCACAGCCTAATTGGCTCTGTCCTGTCTTTATGTCCAAATATTAAAGCAGTTTGACAAGATGGATGGCTATGTTTGGTCCTTTGGGTGGTTACAGGCACTGGGAGAGGAGGTGTGGGTTTCCCTCCCAAGTTCATGCATGGAGGGTCTGCAGGATCTCTGTGGCTGTGGTGGGCTTGGAACAACAACCACACGGTTTGGACTGTGCTCCCTCATCTCCACCACTTCCTTGGAATGCAGAGGAAACCTCCAGTCTCAAGCTCAGTCCAAACTCACCATTCTCTTCAAATACACAGTGATAAACCATGTCACTGGTCCACAGTCTGCATGCAACTGGCTTGGCAGCTGGGGAAGCCACAAGCTCCTTGATGTCTCCATGGAAGGTTCATGTTTATCACAATGAGGAAACACACAAGCACATGACCATGCATGCACACATTATTAGTTGTCAGGGTCTTCTCCAAGTATGGGATTAGCTGCTCACCCTTTGTACTAGTTGCAATTTCTTTAGCCAGTGACTGAATGCCTGCCTGAGGGACAGATGTAGAAGCTAGCAAACATTAATGCAGGAGACAAAGTGTTCAGGAAGTTTCTTCCTGGCTTGCTGTATTTTCTCCAACACAAATTGAAGAGCAGCCGGATGTGTCTCACTGCTGTTACCAAAATGGGCTGGATTTCCTGGGGATGCCCAAAGCCATTATCTAGTCCTGCCCTTCGCTTTGGGCCTCTCCATGATGTGGACCAAGCCCTGCTGTCCCACACTACCCAGCGGATATCCCTCTAAAAGCACACTCACAAATTGCCAGGAAACACAATTCATGCTGACCCCTTGTTGAGCCAGACCCAGCAAGAGACCGACAGGGATAGCTTTTGTTATCTGCTTTCCTTTATTTGCTGTGCCTCTTGGGTCAGGAAAGGAGGGTGTTGCATCTCTTTCCTGCCCAGGTGCTGCTGGCCTCCCACCCTCTCAGTGGCCCAGCAATTCTGTTTTGTGGTTCTAAGGCCTTTTACAGCTGGGAAAAGCTTTTATCTCCCTGTGCTTCAGTTCATCCTCCCAAGGTTGCCAAGTCTGCTGTGAGTTGCAGCCTCCCACCCTGGGCCTGGAGGAGCTGGAGGGGAGGACAGTACATGGTATCTTGGACTGCTGAGCTGTCCCTGTGCAAAGGCTGGAGCTCCTCCTTGGGCCCGCCTTCCTCTTCTGCAGTGTATCAGCTGAGCCATTCTGTCGTTTGGTCAAAGCACCTTCCAGGCAAGGGGTTGTCTGTCTTTGAAAAGAACCAGCTTGTAAAAGCACCTCTTCACTGGAAGCCTGCACCCTGCAATGCAAACAAGCCTGCCCTGTGCCCCGGTCAGGGTGCGTCCCAGTGCCCAGCCTCTGGGCGCCCTTCGCCTTCCTGCTGGGACAAAGAGCCCTTTCACACCCACTGTTTTTTCCCCATTTGCTGCTGCTGCCTCCTGGGTTGGACCAGTCTACTTGATTTAACTGTTTACACCTCACTGCAAGGGACTTTTTATTCCTTTGAACTGCCTGTGATTTGGCAATGAGATCCTGACTGCTATTCCCAGGTGATGCTCAGCCTGAGAAACACATGAGCTATGTCACGGTACAGCAAAGCTTTGCATTTCCTCCATTCTTCCACCTATGTCCTTTCCCCTGCAGCCCCACAGAGAAATAGGTAGGCCCGGAAAAGCTCTGGGAGCATGGGGCACTGTGGAACTGCTGCCATGGGAGCATGCTTCCCCACAGGTGTCACAGACCCACGTCGGGAACTGAAGTGCCAGTGCCCTCCACCTTTCCTCCCTCTCCACCTCTCCCATGGAATTTCAACCTTTGGATTTGTTTATTTTGGCCTGTCAGACTGAAGATCTCCCCAGAGAGCTTTCATCCCTGCTGTTTGTTGCCACCCCATTGATATACCAGCACATTAACTTTCAGCAGCCTCTCACCTCTGCTCTCTGATCCAGTTTTCTCATCTCTCCAGTGCCTCATTTCATCTCTGAATCCTTCCCGTTCAATGCACTTGAACTACATGCTGGAGTGGGATGACCACACGAAGAGCATCTGAAATACTTTGATGAGACATGTCAAACTGTGCAGAGCCAGGCACAGACTACTGACACCCCTGTCTCTCCTTGCATCTACATCTTGAGACATTAGGGTGAGGTCCAGAAAAACTGTGTTGCCAAGTTGTGAGGGTTTTGCAAGGCCCTGGGCGATTTCAAAACAAGTCAGGCCCCCTAAAGCCAACTGCCACACAAATCTCCCAGCCCCTAAATCCATATTACTGACTTGTCAATGCCAGCAGAGGACAAGGCAGCTGGAGGGAAGCATGGATAGCCATGACCACGTGGTGCCATCTCAATTTAGTATGAGCATGCCCCATATGCAGTG